TGTTTTCTCTTAAATTGTACCGAAGGTCATATGTAGAATTCATTGTGTATAACCCACTATTTTCTAATCGACTTCACTCTTCTTAAATTATTCCTATTTGATATAAAAGTAATTCATATATGAATTACTTTTATATATGCATATATGCTTAATGCATTTGTATTCAGCTTTCATAGGAATATGCGTGCAGATGTCAAACTCCAGGGTGGATGTATCAACGAAGGGTGCTAAAACGTATGCATTGGCAAACTTACCCATGAAGCATTTCGGAATTTCGCATGAAATTAGATCACATAAAAATGGAAACAACTAGCAGGGATTTGTTGGAAAAAGTTTAATGTTTTGGAAAGAGATATCTCAGCCTTATATAAGACTGATGACTTATCGGTTGTTGTGGGGTTTTCGAATACTAAATTTCTTAAATTTTCGTCTACAGCGGTAAGGTGGATTTTTCGACTCACGGGCTAACTAATGTAAATTCTCTTATTCCAACGATATGGATTTCCGAATCACCACACATTTACCATTAGTCGTACTGTAGTTTAAGCGGTTTATACGATACGGACCATTGTTTCTACCGATAGCTCCTCTCTGTTCATCACATGTAGCTCTTATTTCAGATTAATTTCTGGAGAAATAACACATCCATTTAATATTCCTTGCTATACATGATGCATGCTCTTCGTGATCCCTTTAGAATTTTGATGTCGCCATACGAAATCTTGTCCAGTAGTGTTTGCAGCTACCTGTAGAAGTTTTCCTTCTCTTGGCCAGACTGGTTTCAGCATCATAGAATTTTCCACAGATGTGCAGTAGCAGTCCGAGTTACCACTCTCCCTCCATGTAGCTCACTGAGCAACAGAATAGAGTAAACAGACATAATAATAATAATTTTATATTTTCATATCAACATAAATTTACATGAAAATGCATGCCATTTTTACAGGCACGATCGAGTATGATACAATGTCAAATAGTAGATTGTCTACAAGTTAGTAATGTTTGAACAGCTAAATATTTGATATATATATATAAATACATTCATTGTCTGACCCATGTCGTATCATTATTGAATTAAACAGCAGCCCTCCAGGTTGAGCAGGAAAATCGACTTCGTTTCGTTTTCAACCCGTAGTTGTAGGCATACGATAACCAACCAATATTGAGGTAAGTACAACGTTAACAAGGGATAGTAAGCTGTTTTAGAAAAGTAAAGGTGCAAAGGTGAATCATTAATGAAATAGGTAAATGCAATGTATCATTAATATATGCATTCATAAAGGAAATACAATGGGATACTATAATCCCTAGGTTGACAAAGTTCCTTTGCAATGTATAATGCTACCCTATAGGTTTTACTATCATGTTGTCCACTTTTGGTTTAATACAATTATCCACAAGCCGGTTGTTTTAATTTCATACATTTTTGTGTTTGGTGCACAACCTCATCGTTCTCTAAGGTGTAAAATCTGGCGAAGTGCTTGCTAAACAGTTCACATATCACCTCAGGATTTTCGTAAGCAATCCCGTTTAAGTATAATATTTTAGGATAAGCTGTTTTGGAGTTCGTCAACCTACTTTTGAAAAGTTTGGCTATTTCTCCTGAGTTATGCGGTGCCTGAATGGCTCGCATTTCTTTGTTTCTGAGGCCTATATTTCTGAACTCTTCAATTCTATTGAGAAGGGACTTAATAGCAATTAGTGATGACAAGTCATGATATCTGTAGTATTTTCTTGAGTGTTTTCGTAGACTTCGCCTAAACGATGTCGGAATATAATCGCTTTGGGGGAATCTGAAGCTAAGAATCTTCTCACGTGCAATGACGTCATGAATTGAGTTGATATTCTGATAGAAGTTGTTAAGACTTGCCTCTAAGGACTCGTTCGAAAAGTACGAGTCCCAATTAGAATATCTAATTAGGCGCTGATACATTCAACATATATATATATATATATATATATATATATATATATATATTAAACAGAAGTGTGTGTACATGAGGAAAACAGACTAGTAATATGCAAGAACAATAGAGTACTTCGATTGGATATGACAAATCACAAAGAGTGAGTCAACGCATCTACGCCATCTTTCACAGAGATGATTTCAAGCCACCCATATCATCACTAATTGTCTCCACCCTTCGTTGTTTCTTACCACAGTCCCTAACCAACCAACCAGTCAGTCAGACAGACAGCCAACCAGCATACACCTCCCTACGTGACTGTCTGGCTGGCTAGTTGACTTAAACTAAACAACCCCTGTAATGGTTTTCATTTTTCTTTTGTATGAGAGGTTTTGGAGGCGCTTACCATTTGACAGTTGTAACTTTCCTACCCTTTCAATTGGATTTCGCTGTCAGTATTGCAGAGGAGGTTGGTTCGCACTGTTTAAGAGCTTTGTATGCTTTTGGGGATAACATCATGGTAGCCATACTGCCTCTGTGAGCTCGTTGTTGTCGTCTGGCTGATCAAAGTGACATAATTGGCTCTCCAGTTAACAATTTATGAAGTCTACCCTACATCTATTCCATTCACACTGGCAGATTCCAAACCATATCAATATTTCCCTATATCCTTTGCAATCTGATCATTTTTGCCGGCCAGTCAGAAATCAGATGTGGATATTCCATATCCTTATGTTTTACTGGGAATCCAGTGAACGAATTATTATTAAAATGCATTTTTTTGGGTGCGACTTGCATTTTTTAGCTATGTACATTCGGTCCAGGATGACAATAATTATGGACTATTTTTTTGAAACTTAGCAACTGTGAAATAGCTTCCATAACAAGGGGACCAAAAGTTTGAGTGAATACGAGGTATGCCTCTCTGTATCCAGGTCAAGCTACCATATAAACCCATGATACCATTGATAACTCTGTTCTTAGACAATGTAAAGAAGTTTAGATTACTTGGTTGGTGTCTGTGAGACAAGTGAAGGAATGAATTGCTGTATGTAGTCCCATAGCTATACCAGTGGTACAAATGATGAAAATTGGTGACAACCAGTGGTGTTCGTCAGGGATGACTGCTGTTCCCACTTCTGTTTCATTCAGTCATAGGTATACCAGTGGACGTAACTCTAACTGACTCTGCCGACTCAGGGATTCACTTGTTACTAGAATATAATCTCGTTGAATTGGGATATGTGCATATTATGTAGTCTTATTAGGTGAAAACGCTGACAAAATAAGGAGTCTTCTGAACATCTTGAGGAGAGGAAATCTCGGAACACCCACACTTCTATTTAAATATATATATATATGTTGAATGTCTGTTTACTCTCTTCTGTTGCTCAGTGCGCTACATGGAGGGAGAGTGGTAACTTGGACTGCTACTGCACATCTGCGGAAAGGTCTGTGATGTTGAAACCAGGTAATCTAACTTTCTGGATTAATCCCGGCATGTGATGATTTTATTGATGGAGACTCTAGGATCAACTAGGCGAAATCTTTTATAGACACTAATAGAATCTGTTCTTAACCTGTAATGGTTTACTAATGTGTGGCTTTACTTGAATTAAGTGATCGAATTAAGTACTGTCGTCATGATGTAGTCATAAGTGTCAGGCTTGTTTGGTAAGATAAAACATTTTCTTGTATATCCCCTAAACTCCTTGTTTGAATCACCGCCACAGACGTATTGGAGGTCAACAGTCGCATTGTATTTGCTTCATATTAGGCCTGCCTTAGATCCGTTGGATAGAACTGTTCTCTAGAACTGTCTGTAGTTAGACAGGAGTGTAACTGAGAAGTTTGTTAACCTCCTAAAATCCCTATATGCACAAATATATCAGGTAGAGTGTTTGTGAGGGCATACAACCAATTATGATCACCACTGTTCCCAAGAAAACTGTGTGGTTGGACAGGGTTGCCAAATCTCTCGAGTATGCAGACGATATCGTCTTACTGTGTGCGAAAGCATGCAGGCTGCCCAAATCGCACTTGATCGGTTGGAAATCTGTGTCTGTAAGTATGGTATGTGCTATGCGTCGTCCAAGTGCAAAGTAATACTATTACAAGATGAGTAGGAGTGTGTAACTGCACTGCGCTGGAAGATGTCGACAAGTCCGTGGATCTGAGTACTTATGTGATTGCTGGCCGAGGTGTGAGAGATGAGGCTTTTAACCGTATCATGAAAGCCAGCGTGGCATACACCAACTTGAGCCACCTCTGGCGATATCACAACGTTAGCTTGCTGACTGAGAAGGCTTGGGCTTACAGTGAATGCTTTGGTATGCTTAGTCTTGTGCTAAACGCCTGCAAAACGTGGCCTGCTCTCCCAGCTGAGGATGTGTGCCAACTCTGCATATATTCAAACATCACTGTGTCCCTATTAAAATTGCTTGCATTCGATAACGTCACCATCATGTGAGTAAATACGAGGTCCGGAAGCGTGTTTTTGGATTGGACACAGTGGAGATCACTATTCATTGAGTGTCGTCGTCATCGTCTGGAAACACCGGCTTGTTGGACATGTGTTTCAACCCACAGGAGCTTCCGTACCGGTCGTCTCTGGGACGGGATGGAAAAAGTGGAGAGGTGGTCAGCCAGCCCATGCATGACGTGGCGTCATGGAATGACAGATATTTGTGTGGTAGGTTAGCGTCATCGCTTGTTCCGTCACAACTCCCTCTAATCGAAATGTTAGTTATCGGTTATGGTCAAGAATCACAATCATCAATGGCGAACGCGCTGCTGCTATTTTCTTCTTTCCTTCCTGTTCTGACAATAATTCGACGAGTACTGTTTGGCCTTGTGAAATATAGCTGCTGTTTCCTTTCTGGATGAAGTCCTTTATTCATTCTCTACCCATTTTTTTATCACTATTATGTTCTTGGTGCCGCCTATATTGTACCAGGTTTAGTGTTTTAAATAAATAAATAAAATGCGTTTTTGGGTTGACAGTGAAAGTTAAACAACTACATATTTCTACAGTTTTTAAATTCTTTTTTATTACAACATCTAATGTGTTGTGTCCAACAACATTATTATTTTTAGATGCTGGCGAAATATGTGGGTATTTTCAAATTTCTGGAACCTATAGGATTACGAGTAGGTCGTTTTTATTATTTGGTTGAATGAACTAATCCACCTTTTTGGTTTTAGTATGCTGTCACTCTAACCAAAAAATATCCCATAAAAACACCTTCACTCCTGTTAGCAGAGCATCTTTTGCCTAAATTAACCCCAAACGATCTTGTCTATGAAGAAGTCAAGCCAGAAGTGGAAGAGTCACCGTGTATTAAGGTGTTGTTAACGGAAGATGTACCTGGTAAATTTGGCTTCCCCCACCGTTTATTTGCCTACCTATTCGTTCTGTTATAATTCTCATATTTTTAATAATGCCTAACATGTATGTGCAAAGCTTGGGAACTTCTGTGGTAGCATGTAATTCCATATTAATTTGTTTATTAGATGGATATATCACATAGTGAAACAGTATTATTTATTGGGTGACAAAGTTTCAAACACAATTTGTTATTGTTCATGATCATATTATATCAATGATAACTACACAACTTCAAAACTTTCGTTTCATAGTTCTCTTTATTCCTTCCTATTCGTTGTCGTACGGGTGGTATAATCTTCCAGATTTTCGTGTGTACAGGTGTTGAATCATTCCTATTACACTGATTTTCAGTTGATTCGAAAAATAAAGCTTCCGTTATCAATCTCACTCCGTACACCCTGTTATATTAGATTTTAGGGCTGTCATTTTATCCTATCCTATAACTGAACTATTCTCCAGATTTCTAATTAGAGTCAAGTAATCTAGATTTTGCTAGGTTTTTGTGCTATCCTCTTAGGTCTAACTGACTGACTCCGTTCTACTACTTTGACCAACGTGTTTGACCTGAAACGCAATAATTCCAGCAGGATAATAGTTGAAGTAAATTGTTTCATTTAATGGGCTCCACAAGCAGGTTCCTTTAGTCGACAAAGCGTGTTTCTAATTGAGTGTATGGGTGATTGAATGCCAGCCACTTTTATTCCTGCCTGCATTGTTAAGAATTCTCCGTAAGGCTTACGAGGTTCCTTTTTTGTATGAAAGTAGTACTGTTGATTTAAATTCCCTATCACTTTATGCTTGTTTGTCATAACGATTAATTGTACTAGCAGGTCGCTTACATCAGGTTGACAAATAAGTCTTTAAATTGCAGTTCCCGTTAAAGTTTGCTGTCTATCGGGAATCAGCAGATGGTCATTGTCTAATGGTCCTTCCAAATTTCTCAGACCGTTAATTTCACTTTTAGTTGTAAAAGAAAGACAAACGAAGCTGCTAATTCCCATAACCGTTTTAAAATTGTAGATATTGAAATCAAGTCCAACGTCATCTTAGACTAATTTGTTCTTCTGATCTATCCTGGTCTACCCACGTCTTAGCGATTTCTAATAAAATATTTCATCCGTCTGTCAACTCTTGCATCTTACCCATTCTTCTTTATTGTTCTTCACCCTAATTCTTTCCTGGGTTGCTTTAAGAATCTGACTATGTCATATTTCTTTGAAATTCCCAAGACTATCAGTAGGGCGAGTGGTGGTATCCCATTGGACCATATCGTTGATATCGTCATTGATGGTAGGCACTTGATTTCATGCAATAAATTTGCTAAAGGGATTTAGTCAGACTGTGAGCATCCACCATGGTGCCCGCAGCTTTCACCTTGCATCTCCTCCTCAGGTAGAACAAGAAGTCATTTCATCAAAACACTTAACGCTTACACGTCTAAGTATAAAAATTCCACGATACCATATTTGGCGGCACGTATTTTATGTGGCGAAAATACTGTCAGGCACAAACTAACTAACTAACCTTCTTTCCACTAGTAGTAAATAAACAATTTCTCCATTCTTATGCTGACAAGTTTTACTGTTATTATTCCCATTATATTTATAGTCCTGTCATTTTAGCTCCAATAATTGTTACATTTATGTTTTCCTCCTCAACATGCTGTGTCAGGAACAAATTAGATCCAATGTTGTATAACAAGCTAAGATTTCCATACTGTATCAGCAGCATTGTTTGAAATAAACCTACTGTTATTATTACTGTTACTAGTATAATTATTGTAGTTAATATTCTCATTTTGTGTTTTGCACATTTTTGACATTATTCCTACCGTAAATGTGGAAAAGTCCCTGTGGTTAGTTTTAATTATATTTTTGAGTAAATTAGATATAATATTGTGAGACATGATGAAAATTCTATGCTGTAATTAAAGTACTGTTTGTTTTGAAAAAAAAGCGGGTTACTATTATTATATTTGTAACACAGCTACATCACCCACATGCACTTTGTTAAAAAACTATAATTGCTCCGTATCTTAGTAACCTTGCAGTCACGCATTTTTTTATCACTGGCAGAATGTAGTCATTGTTATCTGTCAGTGAGGAGGCAGATTATGCAGATGATATAATCCTCCTAGGTGAAAACGCTGACAAAATAAGGAGTCTTCTGAACACCTTGAGAAACAGTAATCTTCGAATTTTCGGTATGCGAGCGATTCACTCCTGCTGTCAAATGTAAGATGATGAGGCTACAGGATTGGACTGCATTACATTGAGTCACCTGTAGATTAACGATAGGCAGCGTTGAAGTAGTAGAGTGTATCGACCACAAGATTTCTTCATCATGAATACAGAAGGTTTCGTTGCACATTTGCCAACAAAGTACGCCATCTCTGGTGGCTTAGTAGACGTGATATCCGACTGGCTGGCTAGCTGACTGGTTGTCGACCATAGGACATACGTGTGTACTTCTCAGCAGAAGCATCAGGTGCAGAATTTCGCTCCGTCCTCCTTTACCGCTGGTTGGCTGTGAATGAGTGAGTGAGTGGGTGAGTGACTGAGATTTGACAGCCATTGATGAGATTGGAAGAAGTGAAAAGGCCGACTGGTCGACCGTCTTTGATCATAGGTTTTGTTTGCGTTCTGTCTGCATCTCGTGTTAAGTTAGTTGTTAGGTATGATAAGGTGAGTATTATTGAGTTGGTGAGGCATCGATCGAGCAATGTGATAGGTAAGAAGGAGGAGGGGGGAGGAGGGAGAATCACCAATGGACGACGAGGTTGTGAAGCAGTTGGATGGATTGAGTGAGATGGTTATAACATGTGTTAGGCATGCCTGTCTATGCATCGATGCGTCCACCCATCGACGCCCTCGTCAACTGTTGGGCGATGTTGGGTTAGCTGAGATAGGATTGATGGATGGATGAGATTGGAAGAGAGATAGCGAGCGAACGAGCTAGCTAGGTAGGTAGAACTTAGTGGTGTTGGTGGTCAGACGAAAAGATGGCTGGCTTTATCAGTCGGTGAATGAAATCCATAACAGGGGTTGTTTAGTTTAAGTCAACTAGCCAGCCAGACAGTCACGTAGGGAGGTGTATGCTGGTTGGCTGTCTGACTAACGGACTGGTTGGTTGGTTAGGGTCATTGGGACTGTGGTAAGAAACAACGAAGGATGGAGACAATTAGTGATGATATGGGTGGCTTGAAATCATCTCTGTGAAAGATGGCGTAGATGCGTTGATTCACTCTTTGTGATTTGTCATATCCAATCGAAGTACTCTATTGTTCTTGCATATTACTATTCTGTTTTCCTCATGCACACACACTTCTGTTTTCTATCGCTCTCTCTCCTTTACTGTCTTCTCTTTTCTCTTGTTTTGTTTTTCTAGGACTTGGATCTATTGGAACCGTTACGTCTGTACATAGAAACCGATTTTGGAGGTACTTGTATATTAAAGGTCTTGCTGAATTGCCGACAGAAGGAAGGATTGCTGAAATGAAATTAAAACAGAAGGTTAGATTGATAATTACAACTGACTATAAAATATTTTTGGGGGTATAAATATTCATATTCAAGTGTTGATGTATAGGGATTTCTTTGGTTACAGGATTCCATCGTTAGCTGACATCGGTCAGAGAACACCTTTAGGAAACCAGCTGGGCTGTACTGCTATATGGCTATTTTTTGTGGTTTAGGACTCATTGACAGTACGCGCTTACCGGCGTTCGAACCGAGGAGGTTCTTGTTGTGATGCGAGCGAGTTCGTAGACCGTTAAACCACTAGGACCTGACAGATTTCAGTGACCAGCTCATGAGTTCAAACTTCTGCTAATTCACTCACGACATAATGCGACTGGCACTAGCCAGTGTCGTCGGTGGCGAATATCTGTCCTCACACCCGACCTTCTGTGTACCCCAGTTATTTAGTATTGATTGTTGGCAGTGGAATCCTGGGCACAGGTTTCTTCTACTATTTGGAACTTAACAGCTGGGTGGATTTGCAATTCCTGGCGAGTGTGATGGTTGGTATTCCATACTATAATTCGAACCGAGTTCCCGTCGTTTCGTTGCCCACTAGAGTGCTGCTGGACCATGAGCTACACCTGTCTGTGTAACGAATTTAATTCGGAATTATTCAGTCATATTTCTAATATGATATCATCGAGGTATCCATTCAAAGTAGCCTCCATATATCAAATTAAGGCTTATCAATTCAGTTAAGTATACCAACGGGGAATCACAAATATGAATAATCTATTTTGGACGTTCCCGTTGATTGATGAATGGACCGAAGTGCTCAGTCTCAGGTTGACAAGTCGGCGGCTCCTTGTGCAGATGCTTCGATGATGTCTGATTATTTGACTTGTAGTAAATTGGTAGATGGTGACTAGCAGTGGACTATTTGGGACTAGTCATCAGTTTGCTGTCTATACGTGCATTTCCCATTAAGTGAGGAAGTTGTGGTGTTCTCACTTCCCACTTCCGGTGGGTGCGTACTGCTGAAACGGAGTCTCAAACTAGGACAACAGAAACGGCTGTCTGGCAGTACTCCCAGCTGGTTTTCCGTTGGTGTTCTCTAACCGATGTCAGCTCATGATGAAATCCTGTAACCATATATTTTTTAAAGTTTTTTGCTTTATGTGTTTATACTGTCATATATTTTTCCGTACTCTTTGTGAATACCTAACCGTCTCTATGAAGTAGTTTTTTTCCTTAATCACTTTTTCAGGAAAGATCCCCCATACTTTGTGGCGAATCCTACATCCTTCAACAACATCTGATGAACATGACGCTTTATATCCCGATGAATCCATCGCGTGAATGGACCCTGAATAAAACCCACGTCAAGGTTGCTTTTAGGAAATATGTAAGCACTTTTTTTGTTACTTCCTGTAAAATGTAAGATGATGCTGCAGGATTGGATTTCACCGACCCCTAGATTAGAAATAGGAAGTGAAGTGGTAGAGCACGTTGACCGCTTCACTTACTTGGGAAGTATCATCAGCCCCAACGGGTTGATCTCCGACGGAATCTCAGCACAAATACAGAGGGCTAGGTTCGCATATGCCAGTCTACGCCGTCTCTGGCGTAGACGTGATATCCGACTATCGACCAAAGGGCGTGTGTACTGCTCAACAGTCCGCTCCATCCTCCTTTATGGCTGTGAACCTGGCCATTGAGAGCAGAAGACATGAAAAGATTAGCAGTCTTCGATCATAGGTGTCTGCGTCCTATCTCCCGCGTGAAGTGGTATAATAAGGTGAGCAATATTGAGGTTAGGCGTCGAGTGCTAGGTAAGGCGGGGAAATCGGTCGACGAGACTGTGAAATTACATCGACTGAGATGGTTAGGACATGTGCTACGTATGCCTAGTCATCGCATTCCTCGACGAGCAATATTAGCTGATATAGGGCCAGGCTGAAAAAGAGCTAGCGGCGGTCAAACGAAAACATGGCACCAGTCAATGAAATCCACAACAGTTAGTCTAAGCCACGTAGGAAGATGTAGACTTCCTGGTTGGGGTCCTCGGGACGGTAAAAACCAATGTTTGGAAACAATTGGTGACATGGCTCAAAATCGTTCTCAGTGGCGCAGATGCATCCACTCCTTGTGACTTATGACTTCCAATTAAGCTGTTTTGTTCTCCGTTATTACTATTCCTGTCTCACACCTCTGTTTACTGACTATATTAAGCATTTCTCCTACTTTCTTCTCTTGCTTTGTGTGCTACATGTGGGGAGTGTGGCGACTTGAACTGCCGCACATATGTGCAAAGTTCTATGTCGAAAACCTACCGACCGACCGATTTTTGTTACTTGCGTGTTGTTATTCGTTTTCTTTCGTCTTTTTAGGGTATTATAATGAATGAAGATTGTATTTCACTACCAAAGCAACAAGTCACTCTGAAAAATGCTACATCTCCTTTCAAAGTTAGCATTAATGTAAGTCTTATAATATTATTTTATTGATTGTTATTCACTTGGGTTCCGAGTGGAACATAGGGCTGCAACAGCTCACGATTAGCCGTAGTTTCTCATCTTCTCCCCAAAACGATCTCCTCCATATAACCCGCGAACCAACTACGCCCAACTCGTCATTTCCCATTCGGGTTCCACCACTCGAGCGATGGCCTGCATTGAGCGCAATGTCATTCGACGGTCTCCCCAGTTAGCGTATGCCCAATCCGTCTCCGTTTTCTCCTACATATTTGTTGAACGAAAGGTTCTTGGTTTGTTTCTTCTCAGAGTTGCTTGTTTTTATTACAGTCTGACTGTCCATTTGGTCTTCAATATAGAGCCAACCAGCGAAGTGGGCGGCTCTTGATAAAAGTCTGCAGCTGGCTGTTTGAAATGCCTTTCGTGACGCTCTGGCCAAGTTTCTGACCCATGTAAAGGAATTGACCAACTTAACATTTGTGTTGCAAATTCTTATCTCATTCTTTATGCTGTGGAGTGTAGAAGATTTCCAAACTGATTTCAGAATGATGGAAGTGTGCCGCCTTGCTTTTCTGATTCTGACTGGCTTTCACATTTTCATCCGTCCCGACTGTCTCTGTTTAAAATGATAAGTGACGGAAGTAACCCCTTTCAAATCTCTCCTGTTGATGGTGATTGGTGCCGGTTGTTGTTGTTGTTGCTTTCATTGGTTGGTTGGTTATCTTCATGACCTACCCCTTAGTCTTCTCTATGTTCACCTGATGTCCTGTCTTCTCTAGTTTCTTCTTCTACCAGTTTATTGGTTCCGCATGTGAATCTTCGACTGTGTGATAGTAAGCATAAATCATCTGATAAATCGAAATCTTCTACAGTCTTTTTATCGGTGCAGTGTTTTTTTTGTCTTTTCGCTTTCCATGCACAGTCTGATGCACATTCCAGCCCACTACAATAGGAATATTATCGTTGGTGATAATGGGCAGCCTTGCCTTACTTCTGTACTGACTTCAAAAGCTATGCTGAGTTTTCCTTTGTGGATCACTCGACACATGCCATCGTCATTTAGCTGTTGAATGAGGTTGGGGCATTGCACTCCTTCCTTTTGAGTTGAATCTTGCTATTATAATCTTGGAGGGGATTGCTTCCCTCTGCATTCGAGCTTTGGCTGCTGTTGGTGACATCGTAATAGCCACTTCCTCAGTGAGCTCATGACTGTCGTTTGGGTGACTGGAGTAGATTACTGACTTACCAGTTGACAATCTAGCTAGTCCACATCCATTCCATCTGCTCTCGTGGATTCAGAGTACTGCCACATCATATCTTCTCATATCTTCAACTACCTGGGCTTCGTGCACTGTACACACGTTCCACGTTCCCATTCTTATTTTTGCTCTTGTCTAAAGGAGACATCGACTGACTGGCTTCCCTAAGGCTTTCACCGACCAGCGTCATTTCGCCTCTCCATTTCCAGTGAAAAATAAGTTTTTTTTCCATATTCTTGTATTTTTAATGTTTTTGAAGTTTCAATAGCAGTTTAATTGGTTTCCTGGGATAGGGTAGCTGGCTGCACGCCCAGCCTTTCCTCTTTTCCCGGGCTTGGGACCGGCTAGAAAACTAGCGAGCTAATAAACTAGCCAGCCAACCCCAAAGGGGTTGACGGCTGACGAGATCTCCTCATCACGGACACAGAAGGCTGCTTTGCACATTTGCCAACAAAGTACGCCATCTCTGGTGGCTTAGTAGACGTGATATCCGACTGGCTGGCTAGCTGACTGGTTGTCGACCAAAGGACATACGTGTGTACTTCTCAGCAGAAGCATCAGGTGCAGAATTTCGCTCCGTCCTCCTTTACCGCTGGTTGGCTGTGAATGAGTGAGTGAGTGGGTGAGTGACTGAGATTTGACAGCCATTGATGAGATTGGAAGAAGTGAAAAGGCCGACTGGTCGACCGTCTTTGATCATAGGTTTTGTTTGCGTTCTGTCTGCATCTCGTGTTAAGTTAGTTGTTAGGTATGATAAGGTGAGTATTATTGAGTTGGTGAGGCATCGATCGAGCAATGTGATAGGTAAGAAGGAGGAGGGGGGAGGAGGGAGAATCACCAATGGACGACGAGGTTGTGAAGCAGTTGGATGGATTGAGTGAGATGGTTATAACATGTGTTAGGCATGCCTGTCTATGCATCGATGTGTCCACCCATCGACGCCCTCGTCAACTGTTGGGCGATGTTGGGTTAGCTGAGATAGGATTGATGGATGGATGAGATTGGAAGAGAGATAGCGAGCGAACGAGCTAGCTAGGTAGGTAGAACTTAGTGGTGTTGGTGGTCAGACGAAAAGATGGCTGGCTTTATCAGTCGGTGAATGAAATCCATAACAGGGGTTGTTTAGTTTAAGTCAACTAGCCAGCCAGACAGTCACGTAGGGAGGTGTATGCTGGTTGGCTGTCTGACTAACGGACTGGTTGGTTGGTTAGGGTCATTGGGACTGTGGTAAGAAACAACGAAGGATGGAGACAATTAGTGGTGATATGGGTGGCTTGAAATCATCTCTGTGAAAGATGGCGTAGATGCGTTGATTCACTCTTTGTGATTTGTCATATCCAATCGAAGTACTCTATTGTTCTTGCATATTACTATTCTGTTTTCCTCATGCATGCCTGCCTACGCATCGATGCGTCCACCCATCGACGCCCTCGTCGACTGTTGGGCGATGTTGAGTTAGCTGAGATAGGATTGATGGATGGATGAGATTGGAAGAGGAATAGTGAGTTAGCTAAAATGTGTTGGTGGTCCAGTGATTGTTTTCTATCCTAATTGACTACTGATAAGTGAGGGCGTTTAAACACTTCAGGGAATGATTAAGCTATTTGTTGGTGTCATAAAGACTCTGTATATATATATATATTCAACACAGGGCTGGATGTTTTCACGCCAGCTGACATTTCAATCAGATTGTTCCAAAACAAATAGCTCTGTATGAGAAAGTAGTCAGCTGTTTCTTATTATCAAATGGTCTTAAACTGAATCTCTTCGAGTGTAATGTTGGTAATTTCACTTTCAGACACAAGAACCATCCACGCGAACTGGTTCGTTCCTCGCAATTTTTTATTGTACCACATTGATGGAAGTGAAATTGAGCCTAAATCGATTGTTAGACACCCTGGATTATGTCTTTGCTCTGATCTTTCCTGGTCTTCCCATATCATAGTACTGACTAGAAAGATATTTCGTTTAACTCTCTGTGTGAGAAAGTTAAGACAATCTTGAATCATCACACAGTCTCTACTTTTACACTTTGTTAGTTCTAATGTTCTACCTACTTTTTTATTACTACCCGCCGCGTAATCTTCCTTGGGCTACTTGAGAAAGACTTTGTGTGTTACACTGCAAAAAGCACTAAAAGGCATAATTGGACAAAGTTTTTAAAGGCAAGATGTGTCCTTTTTGTATACTTATCACAAGTAGATTGAATCCCCAGAGATCCCATTAGTGTAAGGAACAGACAACCTAGCTGCTCTATTGCGAAACATATTATAGAGACAGGACATTATAAAACTGACGTTTCCACATGTCTTTTAAGCCTGTGTATAAAACGCGTTTATGGCGTATCCTAAACTTTGTGGAAGCCCTGGCAATTAGGAAGTTTAGACCACCTTTATGCGTTCATCAAAAAAAAATTCATCATCGCACCAAACCTTCCTTGGTAAACTTTGTTCTGCTGATACCAGGGCAGATGAACTATTAACCCCCCTTTTTGATTTAGTTATCTTCATTGTGACATATTTCCCTTTTTTATTTTAATTTTGATTAAATCACGGAATATGCACATGTAATCATAGGGAATAATAAAAAGACAGTTGCAGCGAAGAAAATTTTCTTTTCGACGAAGTCATCAACTAGACTTACATTCGTATATTTATAATAAATGGGTGGGAAAGTTCCGGAATATTTTCCGGTCAAGGATCAAATTAATGAAATCACAATTAGGAAATAAAATAGCATAATAAACAGGGGGACGGATAAAACTGAAACAAAAAAGCATCGTAATTACTGAGAAAATTGACATATTGTGCAGTTGGGGGTTACAAATGTTGAATTAACAAAAATAGACAGGTTGTTTGAATAAAAAATCTAGTGGGATCATAACTAATGTAACGAATAATTGTTTATGCAGTTAGTAATCAGATATGTAGAAATAATAAAATGAAAAAGCTGATAGGAAGTTCGGATATGAAAATATTGTAGTGTAAATAGGGATTAAGAAGAACTTAAAAATAACATGTATAAACAGGAAGTTTGGATAAGAAAGGCAATGGGATAGTCATTATTATAAGAATTACCTGTTTATGATGACCATGGCAGGGACAAAGGCTGGACGTATTTCTTTTGGATACATAACGTGGGTTTGAGCTTTTGGATAGCTAGTGTCTCGGCTATACCCAGATGTCTTAACTTCAGTCGCTCTGATAGGTTTGATCGAATCTTGTAAATGATTTTGAAGGATTTTTCGAATGGTGCTGAATGTGCTGAATTGATCAGATGTTCTGTCACTGAGCTATATACACGTTTTCGATCTCCTTTTACTATCCAGGCTGGATAGTGTTCACGAGCGCATTTTTCAAGTTGGCGCATGGTGCTGCCGATGTACTCAGCTCCGCACGAGTAAGTAAACTGGTATATGTACGTTGAAGTGGCCCAATGCGACAGCTTGTCTTTCGCGTTCTGGCTGAACAGTTTCTTGGAGGAAGACGTCAATCATAGGCTTGCGGCGAATTATGTTTTCCTCAGGGATTTGCAGAGGCGTTTACGAAGGATCTCTGTTTCAGTGTCACCTTTGAATTCTAGATTAAGCAGAAGTATCTTTTTTGGGACGGATTGGACTTGTTCGGGAGTCTTCTTTGACTTTAGATTCTTGTCTATGAACCTGAATTTTGATTAATTTCCCTGAAAAAGTTTGAACGAGTAGTTTGTCGAATTCAGGGAACGTTGGAATTACTTACTTATTTCAATTTCGTTGAGGTTTTACAAATATGTGATTTTTACATGCATGTCTACTTCACACTCATTGCCGAAATTATTTTTTAAATACTCAGTAAAGTCTTGATCACAGTTCGCTGTACGCATATTCCATTTTTGTTTGTTGTCTGCATATTATCTTATGTGTTTTTCAATTTAAAAAAAATTTTTTTTCTTCTATTCTCTATCCTTGTATAGATCGAAAATATTGTCAACGTCCATGTCGTGTGTAGAATATTCCTTTATCAAAAAATGGACCAATCCACATGCACTCAACCACCGACAAATGTTTATAAAAAGATACACATTGATGACTGGTCTTCGGATTTTTCGCCAAATGATGTCTTAATCTCTCCATTTTAAAGTGAAAGTGAAATATAAATGTTGCTACTTACCTACCTACTGCTAATTGTGGGGCGTTTTTCATTGTCTCTAAAATGTCAATGTTCTGTCTGGTTGGTTTCAATGACTATTTTCCTCTCTCTGTCCATCTCTCTCTCTCTCCCTTTGTCATAAATGCGTGTTTACACTGATTGTGTTGTCCATGTTTCCAGAAGAAAATAAACAATCTGCGTCGACGCCTTTCACATATACACGACGTAGGCAACTCCATAAACCGATTCAAATTACACAACATGAAGAAGGTTGTGATGTGGACTGCAGCCTTGAAATTATTAGTCGAGTGTGAGGACAAATACTCACCACCGATGATATTGGCTAGTGCCAGTTGTGCTATATCGAGCGTCAGTTGGCAGAAGTTGGAATTCTTGGGTTGACCATTGGATGGTGTCCCAGTGAGTGGTTTAGTGGTCTACGAGCTTGCTCGCCTTGTTGTGAGCAGAAGGTCGTGTATTCGAGTCCTAGCGGTGGCTGGGTACTGATTAAGAGTCCCAAGCACTAGGACGGTGGGGACAGCTATCTGGCAGGACTCCCAGGTGGTTTTCCAATGGTCCTCTTCTAACCGACACCAGCTCATCATGATTTTTTTTCCCTTCACGTTCCCCAGTGGAACATAGGGCTTCAAGCTGGTGGCTTGAAGTTTCTGTAGCAGTGTTTATTTTTACAGGATGGGGTTGCTAGCCTCATGCCCAACCTTTCCTCTTTACCAGCATTATTTCTGGCTTAGCTAATCATGATGAGCTCCTGTAATTAATCAAATCGAATCCCTGCAAAACAACACTAGATTAGTCTACTTTTTGTTAAACACTGTAAATAGTGTATACTTTTGCATCAGATTACATCCGACTGAATATGAAATATATATATATATATATATATATATATATATATGCGGTACACAGTGGTGTGGATGCATGAGGGAACAATTGTAAATCATTTGTTAGTCTTTCTATAAGAAAATATAGACAATCGGGAATTTAGATTAAGTACAATATACACAATACATATCCATTTTTCATATATTAATTAGGACTTGCCATGCATCAGCTAACAAGATCACTCCTTCACGCCTGTCCAAACTTTCGTTTCACGCTATATGTAGGGCTTCTGCAGTCAGTCTTTCTTTATACAAACAAAAACCACTACTCTGTAGAACCTGTTGGTGCTGTCATCAAAATCTATCTTGTGTCCCGTTTCCATCGTGTGTACTGCAATGTCACGTGTTCACTAAAAATCTGATGGAAAAATTACACACTGTTTACAGTGTTTAACAACAAAAGTAGACTAACATTTGTAAGTCTGTGGTCAAATTTTGATCACAGCTCATGCAATCTTGATTTATTATGTCTGTTCATGAATTAGAAGATTGGAAAAGGATTTGAAAGACAAGATATGTCGCTATGTATATATATATCTTCTGATTACCTTGGTTTCTCGGGATGTTTGTCCGATGTGTATAGCATCACATTTCCAGCATTTTACTTTATAGACACAATTAGATTGAGAATCCTTTGGAATTTGACCTTTTATATCGACAAGGTTGATTTGCAGTGTATTTCGAAGATGTTTAGAAGAAAACCGCGAGGTTGTGCTTATTGAGTGCTCTTTTGATGATATCATCTGACGTTTCTGATCTATATGGAGTGATAGCTGTCGAGATCCATCCATGTCTTCGGAGTACATTTTCGACCATATTTAATATCAGTGTTGATTCTGTTAATAAAGTTCTTTGGGTAGTTATATTTTTCTTAAGAATTTCAGTGGTGTTTCAAATTTCTTCTTCTTCTTTGTCCTTCTCATCCATTAACATTGAAGGGGAGTGGTCATCCAAGAAGACTTGAAACAACTGATACCTTTGCGTTGATGGGGTGTGATAATCCTAAGTCTAAATATTTGTCGGAATTTGCTTTCTTCCTGAATATAGATGCATTATTAAGATATCTATTTTATTTCCTCTTAATTGGATACATCTAGAAGAGGTAGTTCACTGAGTTCTCATTGTGTCTCCGAAGTGTGAACTGGAGGCTGGGAGACAGATTGTTCAGTTTCTCTAAGAATGAATTGTGTAGATCTGGTTTCAGCACAACGGAAGCATCATCAACGTGTATCTCAGTCATATTTTAGATGTGTCTGTTTGAAATGATGTTATCTTCAAATATATTCATGAAAAGATCAGCGACTTTTGGGTGAGTCTCACCAGTCACCTCAATTTTATACGCTTATGAAAAATTCGACAATCTACACGCACACACACATGCTTTTGTTATCTGTACCAATTGGCCGACTTGACAACAACGTAAACTGAATTACCGAGTCATGCTGACGAAGGATGATCAAGTTGCTATATAAACATATAAACTGAGATTTTGTAAATTCTTTTGATTTAATATTGATACTTTGATAAAGCCATTAGCAGCATTTGAAATGGCGAAACGTCAGTAAAAAAAAACAACAACAATATAATTTCGTCTTTTCCATTCATTGGGAAATACAAGAACTTTTATTACACTGAATATCACATATACTGAATGCTCAAATTTTTTCAAGCTGTTAATAGTGAGTTTGATTTGGATACACATCATGTCAATGTTCTGTCCTGTTTCAAAGGCTATTTTTTTTCTTCCACTTCCTCTTTCCCTATTACATATGTTGAAATTCTACCTTTCACCGACTATGTTTTCCATGTCTGCAGAAGAAAATTAACAATCTCCGTCGATGGCTTTCATCTGCAATCAAAAGACAACCGTATGAACCAATTCGTATTCAACAACATGAAGAAGGTGGTGATCTAACGTTTTCTGTGAGTTGTTAGTGTGTTATGGCGATTTATTACCCCTTTTATTTCATTTTTTAAGTATTGGTTTGTAGGGGTTTGATTGATTGGTTACAGGATTTCATCATGAGCTGATATCAGTTAGAGAACCATTGGAAAACAAGCTGGGAGTACTGGACAGCTGTTTCGTCCTAGTTTCATTTTTACTTTTTATTTTTGACTACCCTTTTGATATTAGAAAAAAACCCGAAATTTAGATATTTAGAAAGCAAAAGAATTGAGCGCAAAGAAATATTTTCTTCTCATTTAGATCCTCATCTCTGGCTCTACTCTAAGATATATTATGTATAGCATTCTTAGTACAATACAAAACATTGCACTGATATGTTTGTTAACAATAATTAGTCAATTTCAATATGTCAACCGGTGGAGGGGATAATTGACGAGGAAAATTGATGCACACACTCGGTTAAAGGGTAGAAATGGTTACAATAAGTGGATTGTATAATGCATAATTTTTGAGAAATTGAAGAGTGATTAAAGAATAAGCGAGTGTACAAGTTGTTTCTTTCCTATCACTCTTAGTTTTTACGTTTCAGAAATTGAAACAAATTACCTAATTTCGCCTCGTCGTCTGTGTATATCTACTAGTGTGACTACAGCTGCTAAGTCAGCTACATTAAGCGTACAATTAGGAAGGTTCATCGTCATATTTCCAAACATCATTCAGCACGGTTAGGCAACGGATTTGATGACTTGTTTCTCAAGATTTTGACAACGGATCGATATAAGTTAGAAAAAACCAACCATTGTGAAAACCAGGGATATCGATCCGTGATCAAAATTGAGTAAAATAAATCAAATATATGCAAACGAACTCATGAAAATTAATCTGATGCTCACTAATAATTTGACTGTCTGGCTGCAGGACGGAGTAGGCGAGAAGGAGTTCTAGTTAGAAATCGTGAAAAGTGACCAGTGGGGTTCACTGGGTCGGGAGGGAGTGAGGACAAGTGCTCACCAGTGGTGACACCATTGACTGGTTGGTAGTCGTGCTGAAAAAAAATCATGAATTGATAGAAGTTAGAATTCATGGGTTGGCCATTCAGTAGTTAAGTTCCAGCGGCTGACGAATGGTCTACGAGCTTGTTTGTGTGTTTTAACTCGGATGATCCTCGGTTGTAACCCTGGAGGTGTGTGGGTGGGTGCCTACTGCTGGTGAGTCGCAATCAGAGTAGGACAACTGAAACGGCTGTCTAGCAGTACTCCTTACTGTTTTCACGGGTGATGATTGTTTGACATGAGCATGACACGTCTTCTAAACATTATGGATACAGCTTCACAACCTCATTGACTGATTGGCCACATTGCAAACTTGACTGATAGAAATCAGTCTGCATCAAAGATAAGACTAGACACATTACATTAGTTACCGACTAGTGTCCAATCAAAAATATCCAATACAGTCCTACAGGAGGTGAATCACGAGCCCGAATAGCCCAGTGGTAAGGTGTCTGAGTGCAGCATTGTGGGACTAGGGTTTAAATCTCAAAAGGGACATGAGATCTTTTGAGGTTGCAGATGTGCCTTGCTGACTGGTGAGTGCCAACCTAGGTCCAAGGCTTCCTGCGGATTGCCTCCAACCATCTAATATTCACTGGTCTACCCTAAATGACACTCTCCACCTACCACTTAACACAAGAGACAGAAGGTGGCGAACGTCTGTGATCCTAGATAAACCCAAACAGACTCGTGTGCTATGTCTCAGCATCCATGTAGAGAGGTAGAGTGGACCGTTTGTTGTAAAACAAATAGTAGTATTTACTGGATGATATTTCATGCACAATTGAATACTGTTCATAATCATATCAAGGCACTACTCATACAACTTTCTGACTTCGTTTATATATAATTCCACTATTTTCATTCATCTCTTGATTTGATGATTGATCGTAGCAGTATTTTCCATATCTGTGGTATTGGTGATGATGAGTCATTCCTATTGCATGTGTTGTGTTGGGTGTAGGTTATTCCATGAACAAAGATTCAGTCAGTGACCAACATCTCCTTCTGCACCTACCTATATTACTTTTTAGAATTGTAACTCTGTCCCACCCTATTGTATGGTTGTGTATTAATGCATGAGGTGCGATTGCTGAGTTTTTTTCTCTCTAAATTACTTATCTTTGTGGGGTCAATCTAACCTTAGCTACGAAATCTACTTCCTTGGTAATATGTTTGTTGCCTGATGAAGTTTTCTGCATAGCTATTTTCAGTGATCGTGTCATATACAATCAACCCTAATTTCATCTTCGATTGCGCCTTCTGAGCATATAGCTCTGACTGTGTAACTGAGGGTCCTTATTAAAATTTTGTTTTTGTACTGGAGAGAAACAAAGCTATGAAGATGTGTCTATATTGTCCTATCTACTTACTTTCTTTTTGTGAATTTCTGTTTGTACTACACCATTGTGTTTTTTTTGTATGACAGACACCTAAGAAGACAATTCCTTTTGTGGATTCCTCTTCGATATCAGTAATTTCTAAAATACATTCTTATTTTTAATGTTATAATCAATTTTTTGACTGGCATAAACTTCTTACTCGTAAACTTTCATTTTTCTCTGCCTATTGTTTCTGTCAGATTTCTGAGTTGAGTCTTCATGGAAAGGCGGCATTAGCCCATTTTGATCCTTATTATACAGAAGCCTATGGGACAGTTGGCTGGCGATCGATGCGTATCGCGCTGCTTATGCCACCGAAGAAAGCTCTATTGTACAATCGATACTTCCCTGATGTCACATTGTCATCAACAATACCTAGCAAATTTCATTCAATGTTACCTGGTACAGATTTTATACGTACTTTGGTCAAATATCAGAATTCCTCCCTGTTAGAGGAGGATGTTGTTGTGCACAATGATGATGATGATGATGATGTTGATGAGAATCCGGTGATTATTCATGAGGTAGGTAGTTTGCCTGAACAAATTGTGTTTTTTAAAACTCTGAGTAGTAGTTGACATTTTGGTTCATAGTGTGATGATGAATGTATGTCTGCAACACATCTTTTTGGGGAGATTTGTGCTTTGAGTCAACTCTATCATAATTATCATTATTATTATTACCTTTACGAAATGCCCCAAATCTCCATAAACCTCATCAAATAACTGTAAGGAGATGTCACACATGCTAAGTGATTAACAACGCAAAACTCAGAAAAGTCCTCAAAGAGAGACAGGAGTAAGAAAAGGCTACCTAATACCTACCAGTCATGATATTCCTCTGATTTTGTTTTGGACTGGAGAATTATGCAGCACACAGACCGATCATAGCAACCAGAAAACTGTGGCACACACGTCAGACCAACTCAAAGACTCTGGACTTCGTGGATGATTCATGTCTAGTGTCATACAACAAACTCAAACATCTGTACATGAAAAATGAATAGGTTGGAAGGAACAGCGAATACAGAACTTCACGTGAACATGGAGGAGACAGAGATGAAGATACGTCACTAATAATAATAATAATAATAATAATAAGCACCAATCATTTTTGATTGAACACTAGTCAGTAACTAGTGTAATGTGTCTAGTCCTATCTTCGGTGCAGACATCAGTTCCTTCAAGGTTGCAGATACGCCTTGCTGATGAGTGCCAACTAGCACGAAACCTAGGTCCAAGGCTTCCTGCCGATTGCCTCCAACCATCTAATAAGCACCAATCACCATCAAGGAACGAAATCTAAAGGAAAGTACGCCTTTCACTTACCTGGGCAGCATCCTTTAAACTAGAGGTGGTACAGAATAGGATGTCAAAACACAGTTAGAAAGACCAAACAGACTTTCATCACTCCAAAATCAGTTTGGAAATTTACTCAGTGTGTTACTCAGAATAACAGACCGGATCTCCAACACACATGTCAAGTCGGCAATTCTATAAAGTTCAGGGACTTGGCGCTAGCGTGAAGAAAAGCATTCTCCAGCAGGTTACTGGAGACTTTCATTATAAGTTGCACACTTCACTGGCTCAATAATCTAGATAAGATGATCTGCCTAGAGAGGATAAGTGTAATGAGGAACTTATTTTGGCAACGGACCAACCAAAAACCTATCGCCCCATAAGTATACCGAAGGAAAGGGGTTGGACATTTACTGAGGAAACAACTTTCAATGACATTGCACACTAGGTCATTGCTCCAGTGGAACCTGGATGGGAAATAACGAGTTGGTCATCCGAGTGTGATATGCAGATCGTGTGATTGAGAAATGAATGCTCATAGGTGGAAATCGTCGAGTCGGCTAAATAGGACTGCAGAAAACAGGGTGGAATGGTGATATCCTCTTTAAGCACTACGTCCCTCTCAGAGCCCAGGGGATTTATATGTATATATAAACCCACAACAGGGGTTCGAATCCATTACCGGTTAGGAGGCGAGCTCATAGACCATTGAGCCACTGGTACTCAGTCAAGTGGTCCATGAATTCGAACTCCTGTCAGTTCGTGTTGTATATTTAGCGCAACTGCCAGCCAATGTTACGGACGAGTAGCTGTTTTCTTGCCTGACTTGCTGGTGAGAAGAAACCAGCGGGGTTCACCACATTGGCTGGCGGTCGCACTAACTATACAACACAAATAGGCGGAAGTTCGAATTCATGAACCATTGGATGGAGTCTCAGTGGCTTAAAGATGTACGTGCTCGCCTCTTAACCAGAAGGTCCTGACTTCGAATCCTGGCAGGGAGTGCGTACTGATGAAGAGTCCCAAACTAGGTCGAAAGAGCTATCTGGCAGTACTCCCTACAGACTTTCCACTGTTTCTCTAACTGATGTCAGCTAGTGATCAGTCTTGTAACCAATCAAATCCCTGCAAACCAACACTTGACAATTTTATATCTAACTCTATGGGGATTTTTAAATTTCTCAAATTAGCGTTTTAATCAATGAATTACATATTATGTTGTGGTTTTCCTTACTCTTTTTATTGACTTGTAGGCTGTAAACACAATGGAGACAAGTGCCCCACGCAGACAATTCTTAACCCGGTATAACCCTTCAGACGATGCGATGGGCACAACGAATCTCAATGAATTCATTCCATCAACAGAATTGATAAGTGAAAATGAAATATACACCAGAGAATGTGATACAGACTTTACATATTTTACACAGGATTATTCTGGTATGATTACAGGATCACAAGGGGATCCATTAGGTTTACAATCCAACTTGAAAGTAATAACCGAGAAAATTGACCTTCCAACTGGATTATGTATTAAGTGTGCCCCACCTGGTCGACTAGTCAGCATTCCAGAACCTTTGTATGTGAATGGACAATTCAGTAAGTTCATTATAATGCCCTCTTTTAGTTTGTGATATATATATATATATATATATATATATATATATATGTATATAACCATCTGTGATATTGCTAATTATGGTGGGCTGAATTATGCGTCAGACTGTGAGTAAATAGGAATACACTGGACTTATAATAAAACTCTAAAGTATCTAGATTCCTTAGCGCAAACTAGAAAACTTACAGGCGAAAACCGGCGAACTGTCTGAAGAAGCTGGCAGCTAAGTCAGGACTCCAAGTGAACATAGAGAAGACTGAAGTGATGAAGCTAACAAACCAAACAACAAAATGAGCAACCAACACCAATTACTACCAACAGCAGAAATTTGAAAGGGGTTGCTTCCTTCACTTATGTAGCTATGCATTATCGTTTCAACTACAGACAGGCGGATTGGATGAAGATGTCCAAACCAGCCAAAACGGGAAAGGAAAAATGCACCTCCATCACTCCGAAATAAGCTTGGAAATCTTCTGCGCTCCGCCTCAGCATAAACAATAAGATTCGGATTTTAAACACCAGTGTTAAGTTAGTCAGTTAGTGTTTCTTTATGGGTCAGAAACTTAACCATTGCGTGTCACGAAGAGCATTTTCACTAGCTGCCCAGTTCGCTAGCTTCGTATTGAAGGCTGCATATAACTGGAAGGTCGATGGGTTTGAACTCTGGTGGTGGGTGTGTACTGCTGAAAGAGTCCTAGACCAGGATGAGAGGGTTGTTCAGTTCCCCCAGCTGGTTCTCCAATGGTTCTCTATCATGATGAAATGCTGTGACCAGTTACATCACTGCTACAAACAGTTGCAAATCCCAACACTTGAACAATCCTAACTGTTCACTGGTGTAAGGTGTTTGTTTTTCTTTCTTCCCAGTTAGTGGAAAGAAGCGTAATTATCCTTAACGATACTTCACTGTTTTGTGCTAACAGCCTTATCTCAATTGAATAGTGAACTGGCAAATTGTGTGTACATACATTTATCTCTTATAGACTGTTGGAGAAATAATGAAATTATATAAATAATAATAATAATAATAGCTCTATTCTAAACAGTGTTTATATAATATACAGAATTTTCAGCGAACTTTATCATATAACATTTTCTCTTCGTCCACCATCTTCAAATAAAAGATTATGTGACTGACAGTAGATCGTATGATACAGTTCTATCTATTCGACCTGAAACGCAAACCAATCCATCATTATGATATCTCTTCTATTTTCTCCTTCGTGAAATACACGACGACATTTTGTTGAATTTCAATCATATAAAATGTTCAGGAGTGGATTTTGGTGAACCGAGAAGAACACCACACTGAAGAGGAACGGTCATCTGAAGTATTGGCATAATAATGCCAACCAACAAGGATAATGCTTTTTCTCATGTTTTGTAGACAGAAACTTGCGAATGAGTAGGTTGCAAGCGGTTTAAATACTCACCAGAGTAAACATTACTATTGAAGATCATATTTTACTAGATTGAAACAAACTGACTACGAGAAATTGTATGCAATACATATTGATGGAGGTTTGCTTCGGCAACCGAAGTTTTAAGCTGGCCACTTTTTTGAGTATATTAGGTTTAATAAAGATATACATATATATATATATATGCATTTATATCTTTCGCATTTCTTTCTGGTTTCCTCAGGTTTACATCAGATGGATTTGGGTTCCGCGGTGACTGTTTTAGCTTTGAACTTAAAGAAGAATGATAATATGTTGAATATGTCTACATTTTCAGGGACGAAATCAGTGATCGCTTTACAAACTGGATTACTAAGTAAGCTTCTCAAGTTCTCGATAATAATAATAATAATAATAACAATGATCATATAATATTAATGCAACGCCAGAAGACAAGGGCCAAGCAACAGATCATTTATTGAGAAAACCAACAGATATTTATAGATTTTTATGTACATTATTATTTGTTGTTGTTAGCAGAGAGGTAACGTCTTCTGATTGGTTGTTTTCCTGCTGAAGGTTATTCCGTCATCTCTTTGTGGCCGTTTCTTTGAAGGTTAGACCATGCATCTGCGAATCGTATCCGCCCACTCAAAGTCTGTTGTTATTGGTTGTTGAGTTAGTGTTTGCTTTTGTTTTTTTCTCATGACCAAGATTTGGGACGTAAACATTGACGTAAATTGCTGTCTACCAATTTTGGCTAGCAGACAGCTCTTACCACAATAATACTTTAGTTGTGTGTGAAGGTTATGATTTTGTGTATGATGAACGCGGCTAGAGCAGCCTTCAAAGTTTTTAAGAAAGAAATAAGTTATGGCCCACTCTCTGTCCACGTAACACACGAAACAAGAGGGCACAGTAAAAAGAGATAGATGCTGAACACAAGTGTGAGGGAAAAAGAATAGTAATATGCAAGAAGAATAAAGTTTTGTTGGATATGATGACAAATCACAAAGAGGGAATTCCAGTCAAATCACCGATTGTCTACCTACAAGAATCTGTTGATCTCTACCCCTTCTTTCCCATGCATTGTCGTCCCATTTTCCTATAAACAGTCAATCCTTTTCACTCTTCATTATTTAACAACAACTAAAATCATTCGTGACTAATGTTACTCCTAGTTCCTATCACCAGTTGCTACTTGTCATCATGGAAAAGGTACATACAAATCTTTAGTGTAATTTATATACCTATGTATTATTCAGGTTGTAACCAGCTGTGAGAAGAATCCTCGAAATAATAATAAATTTAGCTCATATTATCTTGGTACATTTGTCGTTCTTACCTCATTCGAATTTCCTATGGTATCTGTTGGACGATTGCATACTTCAAAATGTCCCTCAGCTCACAAGAGAATTCATTCATAATTGCACCTAGGCTGCATCCCGTAGGTGCATTCATAGGCAGAGATATGAAATAAGCAACACTTCTCTGTCCGGTTGCATCATACATTAGTACAACCTTCTAGCCTCATAGCACATAAATGACTGTTGTTAATCGGGATTGAGTCGACTAATGCAGCTTTGGCTGGCTAATCGAGTTTCGTATGACTCAGACTCTAGTTAAACTGAATACTGAGGCCACAGGAGTTGCGAACAAGCTCAGATGATAGACAGCATTCGAAGTTGCAGATAGAGAAGATATTCAAGGCACCTCAATGGGTCTCCGAGCTAAGGATGTGCTGTGACTTTACGTATATTCAACCATCGCTGTCTTCCTAGTAGAATTGTTTGCATTCGATGAAATCATCATAGTTTGAGTAAATCTGAGGTCCGGAAGCGTTTGGGCTTCTTCAGTAGTACGCATCCACCCACCCTCAGGGTCCGAACCCAGGACCACCTGCCGGTTACAAGATGTCTGAGCTCGTAGACCATTAAACTAAACTATCTTATCCTATGGCCAGCCCTTGAATTTTAGCTTCTGCCAATTGACGCATGATGTAGCGCGGCTGGTGCTAGTCAGTGTCATCGGTGGCGAGTATTTATCCTCACATCCGACCGGTTGTACCCCACTGGCTGCGACTTTCCATTGGAACCTAAGTAAGTACCTTCCTGAATAGGGTCATTCAGGTTAGGGTTTGAGAATGAATACTCGCAGATGACATTGACCAGTGGTCACACTATGTCGTGAATTGGCAGAAGTTGGAATTCATCCACCCCAAAAACCTGTCTGTCTTTACTGCGTATTCTGCCGACTTATATGTCAGTTGTTTGTTGTTGTATATCCTTGATTTTTGTCCGAAATGTGAAACATAAAAATCATCCACGGAAAACCACATCTTGTTAAGATGGTCTATCTGTCGGTTGGTTCTTGTCCTCCCCACTCCCCTTGCTCTACTGCACATGCTCGAGACGACTAGAAAATCAGGGATATCATAGGTGGTAATAGTAGGTAGCAGTGTTGTCTTATTCCCTGTCCTCACTTCAATGAGGCTTCACGCTGAATTTTCCGGTGTGAAGCATTTGCCATATTGCTGTTGAATAAAGTTTCTAAAGGTTTGCGGTATTGCACTGTGTAGTGATATGAAGGAGTTTTGAAATTACTATGCCGTCGATGCATACGATTTTTATTGTGGATGGTTTTTTAGGTAGAGACGACTGGCATGATGATGGTGGGTAGTGTCATAGTCTGACGTATGGATAACTTATTTTTCCCATTTCTCAGCGAAATATTCCCATCCAGGTCATGTGTTTTATTGTTTCGAGGATGATATGTGGCTTTATAGTTTGCTAGGGATATGGGGACAGAAGTGTGTTTGATTCCACGCTGAAATCCCCATTCTTTGTCAGTTTGACGACTTAGCTTATCTTTCCATCTTTCGAGATATTCGTTTCCTTATTAGGACTGAGACACTTACGTCACTCTTTGCTACTGGTCGGAGACGTTACCGATGAGCTGTCTTTATTTATTTAGCAGACTAATCGGCTTCTAAGCTAAATATTCTTGTCTATGTGTTTACATGAAAAAGAAGTATTGATGTCGAATAAGTGATAGGAATCGGCTTAAAATAATAATCATCTTATGATTTATCATGTGATCGTATGTCTGTAAAACTTCATCATCTTTTCCTTGCACTTTGGTCTTTGTCCAATCAATCGTCACCCAGTCAGAATATACACAAATTGGTATTAACAAGAAAATAGTTGGACTTGGAGGTAGAAGTAGGCAATAGGGAAGTTTCTTCTTTGTACATAAATCAGGGCTTCCCATCTGAATCGCCAAGGCCTTACTTAGCAATGCAAAGTATACGGAAGCTTACTGTTTTCAGGAGGCTTCTTTTGAACTTGTTGTAAGTGAGTTTGAATGATTGTGGTGAGAGCTGTCTACTAGCCAAATTGGTAGACAGTCATTTACGTCAATGTTTACGTTCTCAAGATTTGTCGTGAGAAAATATGAACAAAGACTGATTCAAAACCGACCACAGCAGACTTTGCGTAGGCGGATACAGTTAACATATAGATGATGTGACATTCAAGAAACAGTCACAAAGAGATGAAAGATTAACTTTAGGTGAGAAACAACCAATCAGAAGACTGTGTTTGTTTGCTTAACTAATCTATAATAATTTACATGAAAATATATATAAGTATGCTTTGATTTCCTTAATAAACGATCTGTTGCCTGACCCTTGTCTTCTGTTGTTACATGATGAGTTCCAATTACATACTGAGTGGCCAGTGCTGATCCACTGTTACCTTTTCGTAACCAACTGGGATAATTTTTCCTGACTCTTTTTGATAAAACACGCATCGAACGACCTATATATCTCGCTTTAAATAAGCAAGTGAATTGGTGGAGACACATAAAAGTGGTGAAATGCAACAGTTTATCTTTACAGTTGTTGAGGAACATTTGGTGGCAAGATAATACCAATCGTATTGTAGCATCAGACAATGTTCTATTCAGAGCGTTAAATATTCTCCTCTTTAGGATGTCTGCCAGAAGGCCGGCTTTGAACGCAATATTCATGTATAACATTTTCTTCATTACAGCGTAAGTAATAGCCATTCTCAACAGAGTGATCTCTCCTTCTACTGAATCAGGGCTGCAGATTCATCGGATGCTACCAGAAGGAGATGTTATCAGTTTCCGCTTGTGATTGATGCGTGCACAACTGTAAAAGTTTGTCAATTGTCCCTTCGACGTAGGCTTTCTATATGCTGATCTGTTCAAAGCCCTATCAATCTTCTTTGTCAGTCGAACTTCCACAAACAGAGGTTACCTGTCCAGTTTTTACTTCAATTGTAAATTTGATGGCTGGTTAGCAGCCATTAAGAACTTAAAGGATATTATTTAAGTCATATCTCTTATCACAAATGATAAGAGTGTCATCAAAGTGCCTTCTCCACCCAGTTTATTTCACCTCATTGTTACCCTTAATTTTGTCAACCTTTGTGATTTTACACTAAGCCTACCAACTCTGTAACAACTTATTACAATTTACTATTTAGCCTCTTTATTTTATCATTAGACATTATCGGTCAGCCCTCACATTCAGTGTCCCCTTTGTTAATGTGTGTTTGTGTGTAATTTGTGTCTATCGCATTTCTCTCACCCCAATGACACTTGTATTCTGTTGACTATAAAACAGCACTATATCACCCAATTGTTCATTCACACTTCATCACATTTTTATGACTATACACCCTATACACATTTGATTGATTATGTTAACTAATGGACTATCATCTCAACTTACACATGCACCGCAATACAGTTTCTGATATTATTTTCATTTGCCTTTATTGGCTATATGTACTCTATTATTCATGGATTTATAACTGTAGAGCCTAAAGAAGAAGTTATCGAAAACAGTTGTTCGCTCAAAATCTTGTTTTGATTTCAATATGGGAATATTTCATTTACTGAAATCTTGTGAGCATCCCGTTGCACTGAAAGCACTCAACGAGTATCTGAAGTATAGTGCAAAGCTCGCTGAAGCGAAAACTAATGTGGAGTTTATCCGAAACTGTATTGAGAACAACCATTATCCTAAATCATTTTCCAAATCACTTCGTCGATGTAAAGTGCCTTTTGTTCAGAAAAGAGTTGTCGATAGTCGGTTTCAACGGACCACTGTTCAAACTTGCCATGAAAATATATGGTTAAAAATATATGAATACGACGTTCTCTCTTCTTCCTAATGAAAACGTTGTATCCTAAGAGTCACAGGCGCCAGTCTTTTTCTTTCAATATTTACGTGGCTCAGTGAAGCGGCTGACATTAAGGACAAATAGGTGTACTTCTCACATCATTTGGGTTGTTCATTGAGTTGGTATCATAATACCGACACTCATAAGTCCAATCGGTCATATCTATTGGTGACAGGTGGTTCATAACAAACAGACAGTATGAAGTATGTTTTAATGTTTAATTTATTCAATAAATTTTTATTCATTTTCATTTATTTCTCTTTATTCCTAAGATCGCTTAACATGCGTAGTTCGTTCACCATCACGTATAACTCATGTTCAACAAATAACTGAAACATTTCAACTGCCTGAAAACACTACTACTACTGAAGCAGAAATCCGCACAAAAATAGACATTATTTGTTCCAACGATCTTAGCAATTACTTATCAGCAGCCAAAGTTGATGACAACTTTAAATTTAATAAAATCTTAGTGAATGTTCCATGCTCAGCTGATCGATATGCCATAACATCTGATGCTGTTCATGTGTTTAGTCCTGGGAAAATCAATGCACGTACTGGTTTGTCGAAAAAGCAACTACATCTTCTTCAGTAAGTTGATGCGTGTATGTATATCCATCCACAATATTTGATTTTATACTGTTTTTCTTGTGAGTGGTTTGTTTGTCTTATTTAACTGATGTGATAAGCATTTATCTTATTTAATTGGTTGGCATCTTTTGTTGGATTGAAGTTGTCCGGAAAGAGTGGGGTTGTTGTTGTTGTTGTTGGCGACACCGTGACGTTATCTTGCTGGCTGTCAACGGTCAGGTTCGCTCCGGTGCGCGTACTGGCCTACTCTCTGAGTGGAATGAAGGTGTGTGTCGACTCTGCGTAAATTTGACCATTGCTTGCGTTCGGTGACATCATCATCGTGTGTTGGGATTGGATACAGCAGAGGGCACCATTCACTGGGTGTCATCGTCGTCATCTGGAAACACCGGCTTTGTGGACATGTATGCTACGACTGTCATCCCGGAGAAGGCTTCCATACCGGTCATCTCTATTCGATAGCCCTGACTCTGGGACGGGATGGATAAAGAGGAGGGGTGGTTATCCATCCGATGCATGATGTGGAGTCGTGAGATGAAGGATATTTGTGTTAGGTTAGTGTCATTGGTTGGTACATCACGACTCCCTCTCAAGAAAGTCTGAAAGATAACTAGAATCGGTGGTTCGAAACGTCATCGGAAATGGCCGAGTGTCTCAGTCATCAATGGTGAACGTTCTGCGATTTCCCTTTCTGACAATAATCTGACGAATGCTGTATGGCCTTGTTAAACATAACTGCTCCCTTTTCGGATGAAGTGCTTTATTCATTCTCTACCTATTTTGCCTTTCATATGTTGTTTTATTATTAATATTATTGGTGCCTATAATGCACCATATTTTGTGCTTTAAATAATAAATAAATTTGTTGGTTGGACGTAACCCCATCTCCCTCGTGTTCCAGTCCCACGCCATATTGAGGAATATTTTCGATGATAGTAGGCAGCAGCATTGTCTATCTCCTGTCTTCACTTCAAGTAACCTTCACTGAGTTTTCTCTTGTGAATCACTTTTTACATTTGGCATTACCATCATGTTGTTGTTGAATGAGGTTAGTAAAGGTTTCTTGTACTCTGTACAGAGTGGTAGTGTTGAAACACTTTCTAAGTTATTATGCAACCTGACGGTTCTGTTGCGAATGCGTTTTTATAGTGGATGAATTTGAGGTAATGAGTTGACACCGGCATTTGTAGGCTGTGTGTTCGATGATGATTGCTGGTATTGTCACGTCACAGTTTGGTGTGTGATTGACTTCAATTTTCCAATTCTCGGCGAAAATTTCCCACCCAGGGCATGTTTTATTGTTTCAAGGATTATGTGGTGTAACGGAAGCAGACAAAGGACCTGGTAAAGGACTTTTTCACTGAGGAAAATCACTCCGTGTTTATAGATATTTAGCTACATTTGTGGTCAGCGGATAATAGACTGTTCTGATTGGCAGTTTCATTTTTTCAGAGTTAAAGCTGTTCTGATTGGCTGTTGCTTTTCTGAAGGTTAAACCTTGAAATTACTTCGTGACCACAACGTAAGCAGCTAGACGCAGATTCGAGAAATAAACACTTCTACTTCTTTAGCCACTGTGACTTAAAATGTTTCGAATATTAGCTACTTCTTATCTCAGTCTGTGTCTGTATACTACTGATAAATGTTGTCAGTAGCACAAGCCACAATGTCTTTATAATTTGCTTGGGATGTAAGCCAATTCTTGTATAGGCTGTCGGTTGATTCAGATATTCTGCAAGGTGATCAACTCACAGTTTCCGTTTTTTAGCATCTTTGTTGATTGAGTTCACTGAGCCGTCACCACCTCCCACTAGCTTTGCTTGTGCTTTTTGTCTTCCCCGAGAGTCACCTGCTCATTTGATCCAATTCTCTCAGTTGGTGTCTCTTACCTACTGCGTGTTCCGTTTCAGTTTCCAGTGTGTAATTGAAGTGCCTTGTTGTCTTTCTTAGTGTTTTTTCTCACTTGTCTCTTCAGTCACCTTATGGTTTGGTCGTTCATTGTTAGATTGGTTGATATTCTGTTCTGCAGTCGTCCTCCATGTGTCCATGTGTTGTCTTTCCTCTTTTGAGCTTTCTGTGCAGGCTTCTTTCCGTGTCAGTATGGATTTTTGGCATTGCAGCAGAATTTAATTCCATATTAGATGTGTGCTTTTGTATAACAAACAGTGATTTACTATCGATAACTGGATAACGTTTCGACCACAATTTATTATTCATAATCATTTCAATATATTCATGCATACCTAGTGCGTCGGTGGCACAGCGGTTGGGACGCTTGTCGACCAAGCACATGGTCCGGGGCTCGATCCCCGGCCGATGCATTCCTTTGCCTCGCTAAACCAGAAATAAAGCTGGTAAAGAGGAAACGTTGGGAATGAGGCTAGCAACCCCATCCTGTAAAAATAAACTCTGCTACGGAAACTTCAAGCTTGAAGCCCTATGTTCCACTGGGGAACGTGAAGGAATAAAAAAACGCATACCTACCTTCGTAACTTACCTAATATATGTCGACGGAGTAATGCGTAGGCGTAGTTTCCCTTTTAACTCGTCATTTCACATAATATTTTGCGTGATGACTCGGGGTGGTATACTTCCCAGACACTCGAATTGAAGCAGACATTTTTATCATAAGGAGACAACTCTTCCGTAGCCTTTGAGTTGTGAAGTCTGATCCTTAAGGCAGTCAAGAGGAGCTTCAGGAGTAGTTGGGTTGACCTTGTTGTGTGGGTGTGTGTGGGTGAACAAACCGGGTTCATCACCACCAATTCATTCCTTTCGAATTCTCGAGCTCACATGTGTGGAATTAAAGTTTTTCAATTCCCGTAGGAGCGGTCCTTTATATGTCAAGTAGCCGCTAAACTTGTTTTTATTAGTTTTTTGTGAAAAAACATCCCCAGTTTTCAAATACAATGGGAAAGGAAGGATTTACTTGGTAGAGGGAGACACTATGAGCACGTGGTCACATGAGGAGTTGAAGATATGGGTCCTCTTCTGTCGCTATTTGGCCGTACCAAGTTATTTATGACGGGGTGGGGACAGCTTACGAACCCTGTAACATCCTGCCCGCAGTTTAGAATGTCTTTCATTTTTCAGTTTGTATCGATGGTGCATTATTGTTATTATTGATTTATTTTTATCATTATTGTTGTTCAGTGGGTAAAAAGTTTAAAGTTTGGACTTTCTCGCTGATTGGACCGAAGTGCCGGGTCAGTCTCAGGTTGACGGATTGGCTCGTTGTGTGTATATCCTGGAGGATGTCTGGTTGTTTAACTTGAAGTAAATTGATGGATGCGTATCTTATCTTATTTGGATATCTCGTCAGTTGGATATACCCGCATTCCGCAGTGAGTAGGTGATGGTGTGCCCTCTCCCACTAAGACTGGAACCCTAGTATCCATAGTCTGAAATGTCAAAGCGTTATCCAGACATTGTCGAAGCGTCTGCATACAAGCAGCGAACATGTCGTTAACCTGAGGCCGGCCGAGCACTTCGGTCCAATTATCAATTAATCAATGGGAAAGTCCAAATTGCAGAATTAATTAGAACTACTGAAACCCCCGTTGCACAAGAAAGAAGTAGCTCCCATCGAGCCCCAAGTGGTGCCTAGTGTGGGGAACACTTTGGGTTCGAGCCTTAATGGGGGAGGGTAACACCATCACTCACCCACTCACTCAATGGAGAATACAGGTACACATCCAGATGTGTGAATTCTGTTTTAATTATTATTATTATTATTATTATTATTATAAGGATATATAATATGTCATTTATAGTTGCATAAAATCCTATGTGTGGTGTGTTCATTCAACACTGTTTTTATATCAATTTCTAATTTCGACGCAGACATGCAATGTCTTTATGCCCAGCCAATGGAGACGTCGTCTATTCCACTTCAACACTGTCACCCGGTCAGAACCAAGAGCTGATTCAATCGTTTATTGTCAACAGTTCAAAAATGGCTAATTTCGCCTTGGTCAACATGAAACCCTTGTACAATTTACTCAACAGCTGTTATTCTAAACTAGGCATAAAAGTGATCCCGATCCGCTTGCCATTATTCGATAACAGAGATATCAGTAACAAGTCCAAATCATCTGACATTTGTCATGCTTTACTTATTGTTCCATCTGTCACTTGTAATTATGGTCCTACATTTATAGCTAAATTTAAACGTCTTACCTAATCACTCGGATCGTGGAAAGTGTTTTTTTCCTGTATTTTTTCCGATGTTTTGCGTCAGAATATTTGTTATTTGATGAATACATCTGAGAAACAATATCATATCTTCTTCAAAAAGAAATAATTCAATCAATGGGCATTTGTATTTGAATAAAGAAAACATTGGTTTTTTAGTACTTAAAGAATATTCTTTGTCTTTTGATATTTCTTCGTGGCTCAGTGAAGCAGAGCGTGGTACCACGGACGAATAGGTGTATTGTAGCATATCAATAAAATTGTATTCATCGCGTTCGTTTTTATCATAATCACACGCAGAAGTCCATTCGATCATATCGTCAACTGTCGGCGCGATAATATCAATTGGCGACAAGTTCATTTCACCCGGTGACATCGATCGTAACAGATCATTAATTTGTAGACTTAAATAGTCAATAGTTGGTTATTTTCTATCGTCTTCAGATGGCCAGAAAAGATCAGCAACAGGAATCTCTGGCAATGAGCGAACCAACCAGGAACCGATTGTGAAACAAATAGGCAGGAAGAAATGGAGATGGATTGGCCATACTCTGAGGAAACCATCAAGTGACATCACTAGACAAGCCATTGCTCGAGTGGAACCCGAACGAAAGGGAAGCGGCGAGTTGATCGTCCAAGGGTGACTTGGAGGAGGTCATGTGAAGAGATGAAAGCGTGTGGGCAGACTTGGAGCCAGGTGAAAACTCTAGCAGAGAACCGAACGCAATGGAGACGCACGGCCGAAGCCCTATGTTCCTCTAGGAATTAAAGGAAACAATAATAATATAATAATAATAATCATACTTTTCTTGAAGCAAACTCCATTTTCATGTTTAGGTGTTTTAGCCTTTAAAAATTTGAAAAGATTGATTAGCGAACGAAGAATATTCCTGCTCTTCATATCACGTTAACGCTCAATTGAACACCATTATTCCAAAGTAAATAATCATGAATAACAACGAATATATAGTAATGAATTTTCTTGAGTCATGTTCATATCAAATCCTATTCAAGCGTTGGTTAGCAGGGATTTGATTAGTTACAGGACTGATCACGAGCTGACATTGGTGAGAAAACCATCTGGGAGTACTGCCAGACAACTTTTATGATTTCCTTCAAATGTCACAGTTGGAAAGAGTGCAGCTTGCTCAACAGAAGGGATTCAGTGTTACTTGCCTGAAACTAGGGCATATGAAATCGAACTGTATATCAGGTAATTAATATAAATCATGCTAGAAGTTCAGTTGAATTGCACCCATTGTTAAGAAAGGACAAATAAATTGCTGTTATTGCTATTATTCATAACAACCATGGGGGTATATGATGCACGAGAGGTATGCTTTGGGGTGTTACCTGCTACTGAAGGAATTAAATTACTCTGCATGTGATACATTCTTTCGGACCGATTCTATGTCGTTGACATATTATTTACGTAATCAGTAGGTAAAGTATGCATTCTTTGTAACAAACGGAGTGTTTGAAAGTTGTGAAACAACAGCTGTTGATCGATGGACTTAAGTATCATCCAAACAGAAAACCACCAACATAGTATCAAGGGGTTCTGCTGACGTAAGTGTTCTTAGAGAAAGGTCCAGGATTCTTGAAACTGATGGACCACTTATCGTGCCAAATAGAGAAGATGAGTCCACTGTGTACGGCAGTGTCTTAGAGTTAAAATCGACTGTCAAACTGCCTGAAAGTGAGTGAAAGACTTTCAAGTTTGCACCAAGAGTTCAAATATCAGTATCATTATTGGAATAAATTACTGGGAGCTGTCGTCGCTTGGATGTCTATAGATATGTTATGTACTTGACAGTCATATATCTTACACAGTACAATTTCAAGACCATGTTGAGTATACAGACAGTGGAAGGAGGTTAGAGATTGGATCCTTCGACGATTTTTCAATATAGAATCGTTAACTTGAAAGGCGTTGCAGGCGTGATTTTTGAAGTCCAACAATTCTTCAAGGGTAGTATATAAAGGCATGGTTCACTAATTTAGGTGTATTATCTTTATGTGTGTGTTAACTGTTACCTGAATATGCACTGTTTATCGTTTGTTTTCCACATTTGGTTCTATTGCATAAATTCTGTTAGATTTTCATTGTAATAACTTCTGGAGACCTTGGCATTTATAATGGGACTGATTTATTAATATTGAAGCTAAAATCATTAAATGAGATTCAGTACTCTGGAGGAGACTACCTAGTTCAACTAGGTGCTAAACACTTAGTGTTCATGTAAGCAAAGCATAGTTATGTTAAAGCTGTCGAAAGGGGTCCTACACGCTGACGGAGAGGGGGGTGGCGGGTTGAAGAGCTAACAGTATAAGCCTGCGTACGTCACTGTTACTAGTACAGATGCAGAATAAATGACAATTGATATCAATGATAACTGGTGTTGGACATACACAAGAGGTTGTGCGAAGAGCTCTATATGATATTCTGCTGAGGTCATGCTGGTTCCTATAGAAGTCGTTATAGAAGGTGACGTTCATGCTGCAACGTGTCAAGAAAAAGACAGAGCTGAAGGTGGTCAATTATTGGGGAGCTGCAATATCATTAACTGAGTGAGAGTGTGCACCAGTGTGATGTGGGTATGCTTTTTGTGTGTGTTGTGTATTTTGCTTTATCTTCTGTCTGAGTCTCGTCTTTTTTAGCTCAGGTTTACCCATGGGCAGTTAACTCAACGTTTATTGATCGTAATGGAAAAATAGGACGGACCCCTCTTTTTTCAGTGTCAGTGTCGGTGAAAAGTTCTAGGATTTTCCAATGAACTTGCTTATTTGAACTAGTTTCATTTTCATGGGAGGCCGAAATCCCTCCTGTAGCTTTAACGTGTGCTAGTTGATAGAGGACCAGAACAATACGTCAGAAGTATTGATGTGTTTTATATAGACGTTTATTTGTAGACATTTCGTCACTATATTAATATTAACCAGCTATGAAAAGCAACAGTGAAGAAAAGACACCAACGTCAAATGACCAGACAACCAGCCCATCAGATTCTTCTAGGTTAAAAATGGCATTTATAGTATAAAATGTGTATTTATATGATATATATATAATAAAAATAAATTAAACAGGTTATATATCTCTAATATGCCTCAAAAGTTGGTCCCAGTTTCTCATAGGAATATCTACAATAGACATATCAAACCAATGTCGATGCAAAAATTCATCTAAGTGGCGGTGTATCATATCACATCATACCGGGAACCAATGAGTATTCTAATATGTTCGCTTTTAGTAGCGCCCAGAATCCTCCAATAGAATTTATATGAGTTCCACCGATAGGACCCACTAATTCAGTAGAATGATTGCCTTTGTAATGAATATAGCCTAGTAATGATAGTTGCGAATAACCTCTCCACTCGTCGTCAATGTGAATGGTAGTTAATGCCTGAGAGGACTAGTTAGTCATTATATTATTGGTATTATTAAAACATCAGCACTTCTGTTTAGTGAGATACGTTCTACCAGCTCTTTCCGAACATTTGTATCCTACAGTCCATCCCAGCACCCAAATATGGTGTGCTGTTCTCCAATCACGACGATGCATTTTTCGTCAATATATGAATGATGACACCAATTCTTCCAAGTACGTACACAAATAATTCCATTGATCTTTTGTGAGGAGGCAATATCCTGACAGTGCTGTGCTGATACCACTGCACTCTGTTGACATTTTAGTATTCTCTGTTTCCCGAGCTGCTGCAGAAAATATTACTGGTTGTCTCAGCAGACAATTGTGGCGAATACACGCAGTTATTTTACTAAGTCAGAGTTTCGATTTCAAGAAGAAAGTACTTAAAATCAACTCACCATATAATGTAAAACTTACTCACTGATATAACACAGTGATTACATCTAATGAATGCATAACTATTAAATAGACCAGCAATACTTCTGAAGAATCATTTTCCCGCCTCACCACATATGCAGCATGTTTTAGTCCTCCCTATCACAACCCATTTTCCACACAGAAGTCAAAAACCAAATCTAGGTGAAACTTGCAACGATGATTATGTGAACGGCATCCATTTACAATGCCGAGGAGCGATCTGATTGGCTGGTAGTTCCAGGTCATTTGACTTTAGTGTCTATTCTTTATTGTTGCCGCTGTGAACTTGTTGATTAAACTGCTGTATATTTAAATTTGCTATATTAGTTTTTGTTGATTCATTAATAAATCTTCAACGTTCAGGTATATCTCTTATTATCAATTGCGCTGAATTTCAGTTAGTCATTAAGCACCTAACGGGTGTTCTGAGTTCCTCATAGTTATCTCCTGAAAACAGCAATAATTCGCGATAGTCTTACTGACGTTTTCTGATCCATTCAAAAACAGTCTTTGATGTGTTCATCTGGAACTAAAGAATCATCGAATCCCTGCGCTATGTGGGACTGTTGCCGTTCGCTGGATTCAGTAGCGTGGAAGTTATCAGCACTGATTTTCTTCAATCGGTGATTGTCAGCTGTTCCTTAGGACAAACATAGTTTTGAATATGGTATTTGGTTCATAATTTGGTGACGTTTCTACAATGCCTAAGCCAACGAAAGGACGAGTTAGTTTGGAATCAAACGATGGGATAAGTGTTGGTAAAGAAATGCTTCATGCTATTGGTGGTATTCCTGAGGTCCATGTTGACAAATGTTATGAGAACTGTCTTTTGAGGCACGAGTCAGTTTGTTGTGCTGCTCTATTTTGATCAAACTAGCGTACACGTATATCCTAGTACTTCTTCGCGTTTATTATTGTGTCCTAACGTTGTGATTACTCGACATCCACAACGTAATTCAAAAGGCACTTGCGAAGGAACACGATAGTGTATTATTTCAGCAATCAAAATTCAAAAACTGAGCGAGTACAAAAGTATCAATTGTTAACACGCAAGATTTAGAGTGATAAACAAATCAAAGTCCAGTTATATAGTGAAAGTATACTACGATGATGAGTAATAAAATGGGTCACTACGATAGCCCCTCCCTAGAATGCAGGAAAAATAAAGTTTGGCTGTATTCCTAATATTATTATACATTATAATGACAGAAGAAATATATGAGAGTTTCTGGTATGAAAACCGAATTGAGGATTTTAAGTTTTCTGAGGTTTGATAATATAACTGTATGTATGCGAAAATGCTAACAACTTTCAAACGAACCAAAATGTTTAGAAAGTTGTGCAACATGTAACAATAAAACCAGAAAAATTATTAGGATAATAATGAGGTTGTTATTGTAAAGAGTTACAGAATAGATTTATATCTTACATACAGTTAATAATAGTACAGTAATAAGGAAGTATGGAAATGAATTAGAAATAAATTGTCTGTACAAATCTATGTGGCCAATGTACTCGTCTGCCTGATCTTGTGATTCTTTATTTCTGTTTTGTTAGCCGGAATATCATCAGATTTTGAATCTTGAGAGCAGGACTCATTTTGTGGCTCAACTTTAGGTGATGTTGATTTGGATAAACATTCAGTCACCTCTATTACCAGGAAAGCCGGTTTTACGCGATCGACGCTTACATTCTCGTGTTTTCCTCCGTGTTCGACAGTGATGGTGTAAGCGCAATATCGCTTGAAATTAAGTCACGCGTAGATATAGGCTATCCCGGTCCAGAACAAACAAGAAGCCGGTCACTGTTTCTACGGTACTATTAATAAACAAATCAATTAATATAAATACAACAAACCTTAACGGTTTCAAGAGTACAATACACAATGCTTAACAGAAAGCAAAGAACCGCTATCAGAGCGGAATAACGTTAAAGCCAAAATTACGAACTAGCCGGATCAGACACGACCGTTCAGGTAAGCAGTCAGTAGAAGAATGAACCCAAGTAAGAGATAAACAAAGCATAGGCACAAACATAGAATTTAATTGGCTACTTAACCAATCAATAAATAAGATAAACTCAACATAATAGTACAAATAAGACATGGGTCAGCAAAATAACAGTTCACAAAATACTCTGATTGGGTCATGAGTTCAACTGTCTGACTAAAAGGATAGAAGTAAAAACACACATACACAGTTAATTAAACAAGGTGGGATAGACACGTTGGGCATGGATAATTGTGTTGCAAAAATGCTAGGCTGATCCGGGACAGGTTGACTTGATTCAAGGATAGGAATTGAATTGATCTTACAGATGGTTTTGTTTGTTCTGCTTACTACTTTAAATGGTCCGTCATAATGTGGTTGAAGTGGTTTCCTTACACCGTCGTGTCGTATGAAAACATGCGTGCAATTGTCTAGTTTTTGAGGCATGTATACTTGGTTGAGCTGATGTCGCAGCGGATGATATCTTAAAAGGCTAATATGTTGTCTCAGTTGTTGTGCAAAAGTAGTTTCGTCAGCCGGAACTTCAATGGCTGGGTTGAAATATTCTCCAGGTAGTCGTAAAGTAGTTCCATAAACTAATTCTGCTGGACAACATTCGATATCTTGTTTTATTGTCGAACGTATTCCAAGAAGTACAAGAGGTAATTTATCGCTCCACTTATCATCATCCTTCACTGCCATCAATGTTGCTGTCAGTTGACGATGAAATCCCTCCACTAAGCCGTTTGAACTGGGATGATAAGCAGTAGTACATATACGCTTGATTCTCAGTAGTTCTGTGAGTTGTTGGAATAAATGGCTTTCGAATTGGGCACCTCTGTCTGTAGTAATAATGCTGGGGCACTCCGAAGTTGGAAATCCAATTTTGTATAATGTTCTTTGCAACAGTTTCAGCCGAAATATCAGGTAAGGGACTGGCTACTGGCCATCTCGTAAATCTGTCAATACACGTTAAGATGTAAGTAAAGCCATTAGATGGTGGTAACGGTCCAACGATGTCAATGTGTATGCGTTGGAACCTATCATCAGGTTCTGGAAACTGGCCATTAGGTGAGACTGTATGTCTTCGTACTTTTGATTTTTGGCAGGCTAAGCATGATCTGGTCCACTGTTTAATCTCACGATTCATATTCGGCCATATATATTGGTGACTTATCAGTTTAACTGTTGCTCGGATGCCAGGGTGAGAAATGCCATGTATTTTGGAAAACACTGATCTTCGCATTTCTAATCGGACAAAAGGACGTAGTTTACCTTTGGAAACATCACACGTAATAGCTAGGCTTTTATCAAGCATAACATCTTGCAAACGTAAAGAAGTACTCGTGCTATTTTTAGTCTTTTCAGATCCTCGTCCATAGTTTGCAGTCTAGCCATCTTTTTCAGATCAAACTGATCTTTTTCTAAGATGTTTATATGAATGCGGGATAACGCATCTGCTACCTCGTTTTTATGTCCTTTGTTGAGTCTAATATCTAAAGTAAACTGAGAAATGAACTCGAGGCGTCGGAGTTCTCTTGGTGAGTACCTATTGTGCTTTGCATTCATGGCTTTGGTTAAAGGTTTGTGGTCTGTGTAGATGGTAAACGGTATTCCTTCGACCATATAACGAAAAAGTTTAACAGCAAGATAGATTGCTAGTAATTCTCTACTGAATGCACTATATCTTGATTGAGTAGCGTCTAGACGTTTGGAGAAAAAGGAGAGAGGTTGCCATTTCCCAGCAGAAAATTGTTGAAGAACTGCGCCGACGGCGACGTCTGATGCACCTGTTATAATAGCTATAGGGGCGTTGACGTCGCGACGTACTAGTAAAGTTTCTGAGCTTAGAGTTTGTTTCAGCTTTTCAAATGCCTCGATTGCTGAAGTACTCATATGCAGCGATTTTGCATGACCTTTTAGTAAATCTGTCAGAGGTTGGGCCAGCTGTGCACAGTGAGGAATGAAACGGCGATAAAAAATTGACGAGACCAAGGAATCGGCGTAACTTTCGGAAGAATCTGGAGTCGGGTATTCTTTTATGACTTGAAGCTGTTCTGCTATCGGTCGAATGCCTTGATTGTCTACCTGATGTCCCAAAAATTTTGTAGTTTTCCTACCGAATAAAAAACGGATATGTATATTTAGCAGGTCGCCGCTGACCTTCATGAGGCTTATGATACACAACTCTGAGAAACCGTAACCAACCCCCCTCCCCGCACCCAGGTAGAAAGTATCAGTGAACTCAAGCACAACTAACTGGTCACAAAACCCGGAATCGTTTTACACATCTGACGATTTACTATATGGATAGGTTTGGAGTAATAATATGAATCATACACGAAGCACTCACAAATGTGGAGAATTCTACAACGACATCCCTGCTCAGCATTCAATCAACGTAAATAGCTAACTGCCTATTACAGTATTCCCGTGATGAAGTAAGTCAGAGTTAGACTTGTTCAAGTCAGTTATGTGTAGAATGCAAGGCAAGTAGTATATCAGTCGATAAGATTGTTAAGTGATGTCAGAAATGGGATGCTTTATACGCGTCTGTCTACCTGTATCTCTCTTTGTGTTGAGCGAATGTAATCGACCCTTCCGCCCGATTAAATTATCAGCTGGTGTTTGAAAATCAGAGAAGACTGGGATAGCTGTCTCATCGTCGTGCGTTATTTTGGAATAGTTCAGCAGTAGTAGTGCATGCACGCACAATGAATGCTTCTAGGTGTCTATGCTACCCAGGGCCTTCAGGTGATGAGTTCAAAGCTTTGATCACTGAACTATTGATTATGGTTGCTTGACTGATGTTGATAGATTTCGGCCTTTGAAACACCATCTTCCTTGCCTTGAAGTAGAATGTCATCAATGGGTGTGACGTCTTACACTCACTCATAAAGGTATTCTTTTATTGGATAAGCATTGCTGTGTAATCCGTTATCCTAGTGGTATTATTATTGTTCATCTTTGTGAAAGAGTCGATATGTTGTAACCATGTTGTTCTATATCATAATAGAGTCTCTAGTTTAGATAGAGGAGCTAAATACGTTAGGTGTGCCTTCCTTGATTACACATCTGCATTTGACTCTGTACCTAGGTCTCTCTTGCTAAGTAAGCTTGCTGCAACACAGGCTGAGAGCTGGACAAATAAGTGGTCGCATTCCTATTTTTCTGATAGGAAGCAGTACACCGTCTACAATGGAAACTCGTCCACTACCTCACTTACTTTAGCTGGTGTTCCTCAAGGTGCTGTTCTTTCTCCTTTTCTGTTTCCTTACATGACTTGCTCCATTCTGATGTAGCCACTTTTGTCAAGTATGCTGATGACCTCTCTGTCTCCATGCCTGTCAACTCTCAGTCAGATTGTTCCAAATTAAATTACTTTCTGTCGGAAATTAGTCAGTGGTCCTCTTCAAACAGTCTTAGGCTAAATCCGTCTAAATGTCAGGTAGTCAATTTCACTTTCACACGAAAACGTGACCTACAACAACTAGCTAGCTCATAAGGCCCCCCCCCCCCACGGCATAGAGGTTGAAACTAAATCTAAGGTCAAGTACCTTGGACTGAGTATTTCCTCCGATCTTTCCTGGTCTTCTCACATATTGCTAGTGACTAGAAAGATGTTTCGCTTAACGTCCTACGTTAGGAAATTAAGGCAGTCTTTGCTTTCTCAGTTTGTCAATTCTTGTATTCTATCCATCCCTCTTTACTGCTCCCCATTAATCTTTCCTGGACTACTTAAGAAAGATTTTGCTTTGCTGAAAATGGCACTAAAAGCTGTTAGTAGGGCAAGTGGGATATCGTTTAACCAACTGGTTAACACTATTGTGGATAGACATATAATGTCACGTAAGAAACTAGCGAATACTATGTTGTCACACCCTGAGCATCCTCTCTATACGCAGCTCTCTCCTTGCATTTCATCTGGTAGAACTAGAAGCAGCTACAGGAGGCTATATGCTAGGACTACCAAGTACAAAAACTCCACAATACCTTATCTGGCACAGCTGTTATGTGATGAGAAATCCGTTAGGGGTATGACACGATCAACTTACTGCGGCAATCGAACAAATAGTTCCCATTAGTTTTTGTTTTCCTTTCTTCGTTACTGTTATATTGTTGTTCACATCTGCTGTTACACACTAATTTTGTATTTCATATTCCTGTGGTGCATTGTTTAAATATGTGAATGCAATGCTGTTCTTTTTTCAATTTCTTTTTATTTATCTATTTTTTTATCGTTGTTGTTGCTTTTTGTTTTTAAAATCTTATAAAATTTTATGAGGTGATTAGATGCAATATTGCAATGCACGCTGAAAATTCCATACCTGTTCCACAAATACTGTTTGGAATAAAGCTATTATCATTATTATTTATATTAAACAACATTTATGTTAGACACACAATCATCAAGGAAGTATTTACAGTTAGTCAATAACATTTCACTGTACACATGTTGAAGAGAATTAGAAGGACGACGTCAAAAGTGCATAGAACTTCAATCAGAGATGACAACCATTTTCATCTTGACGAAGAAATTCTCTTTATAATGTGGTATATATCAAGTAGTACTTCGTTCAGTTCTTCAAAGGAAATTCGACATTTTGAAACCTATATAGAAAGAGGAAAGGAATAAAAGAAATAATTTTCCAGCTATACATGCATGCATGCATGACAGGAGGAACATACACACACACACACACAAATGAATTGACTGAAAACTCAATTGTGTTTTTATTGCTGGTTAACAGTCGCCGTTTTTGGAATATTAAAGAATATAAGTCTGAATAAACAGTCCCTTTCCAGAATTCGTTAGAGGACAACACACGAGTGCGTAGACGGCGTGAGTGACACATCCAGTATAAATCACCAAGTTTACAGGATTACAAGAAAACCACGACTGTCTGCACGACCGTGCACAAAACTGTGACACTTCAGCCGCCTACACTCCCATATAACACACAAAGGCAGACAAGAGAAAACACCAAATACAATGACCACAAATGTGAGGGAGTATCAACAGTAACCCAAACAACAAGTGTTGTGTTCAACATGCTCATCCCCATTCCACCCGGCATTATCCTACATATTAGGCGTCAATGTTGACCACAAGGATATTCATGCTAAAACCGGTGAATACAAATTTATGATCACACATGATGGTGTCCTATACTTTCACACAAATCATCACTTTCATGACTGACCGACTGTAAAATAATTTCTACATACACACTGACAAGTAAAACCATCCATAAACATTTCCTCTTACTCTAAATGCGCGTTTAGGGAAGCTAATACACCCGCAAATACTGACTATTTGTAAAGGACCGCAACAATATTAAACCAAACAACAATCGAATCGGTGGGTGTCTGTCTTATTCTTCAGGGGAAACATTACAATGACAATTAGTTAGTAGAGTTATTCCTCTAAAGTTAAGTTAGATCACGAAATGACTAAGTCATCACTCAGTCATGAAAACATTAGCTGTCTTTCATTATAGGTGCCTGCGTTCTATCTCCCGTGTGAAGCGGTAAAATAAAGTGAGCAATATTGAGGTGAGGCATCGGTCGAGTGCTAGCTAAGAGAGGAAATCAATAGACGAGACTGTGAAGTTACAACGACTGAGATGATCAGGACATGTGTTACATATGCCTAGTCATCGCATTCCTCGACGAGCAATATTAGCTGACATAGGGTCAGGCTGGAAAAGAGCTAGCGGCGGTCAAATCAAAACATGGCTTCATCAGTCAATGAAATCCTCGACAACTAGTCTAAGCCACGTAGGAAGGTGTAGACTTCCTGGCAAGGCTCCTCGGGACGGTAAAAACCAATGGCTGGGGAAAATCGGTGATATGGCTCAAAATCGTTCTCAATGACTGGCGCAGATGCATCCACTCCTTGTGACTTGTAATTCCCAATGAAACTATATTGTTCTTCGTTATTACTATTCTTTTCACCTTACACCTCTGTTTACTGTCTCTGTTTTGCATTTCTTCGCTTGCTTTATGTCCTACAAGGAGGGTGAGTGGCGACTTGAACTGCTGCACATCAGTGCAAAGTTCTATGTCAAAAACAGACAGACACACAGTCACTGAAAACTAGTACGAAACTGATGTTGTTCATTTACCACTTTCCCGGTGCTTTTCAATCTTTTCTATAACTCAAATCTGTTTCATAAAATGGAACTCGGAATCAACCCACCCACCCCACCCCCGAAAACTAACACATTTCAAAGTTATGCTTACCTCTTCAAGTGCTTCCTCTTCTTTGTTTATCTGTCTCATCGTGCATGAATTGACTCGAGTGATACCAGACAATCGTTTCTGCAATGTTTCTTCTTCAGCTACAAACTGGTCAATCTTTTTTGACCTATCTGCATCATCAGTTTCACGTGCCTAGCAAGCAGACGGGGCAGACGGAGGGGAACAAATCATTAAACAATGTTGGTAAATTATACAGAATAGAATAGTAAAATGTTTACATTTAATGATAATGTGCACAGCGGTTATGACTCTCGCCGACCATGCACATGGTCTGGGGGGTTCGATCCCCTGCCGACACACCCTTGATATACATAGTCCGCCTTCAAAATTTCGGCTACCAATATCACATGCTGAAAATTCCATACCTGTACCAAAAATATTGTGTGGTTTCAAGCTATAATAAAAAACTAAAATCTTCTTTGTCGAAAAAAAGAGGTCTCATCTGAACAACACATATTAATGCACTATTCCATCGAGCAAGAAACATAGTCTCATCTCAATCTCACTAAAGTGTAAGGTTGGTATAACTGCGAAAGACAGCCAAGTGAGACTAGATAGACTACGTGCTAGTTCAATGACAGGAGGCTTGATAGCCACAACCAAACAAAGCAGGTTACCACAAGTGCCATCTTAAACCTCGCCTAGTTTACTAGCCGGCAGTCTAGTGTCACAGACTGGTAACTATCTCATCCCGTAGATAAACAACACCAGCCATCCTGAAACTCTTAAGCTCCGTTCTACTTCAAACGCAAGGAATAACGAAATCAAATAGTTCTCAAGTGATGGACTACTTATTCTTTCCTCAATAAAAATAAGGCTTACATGATTTAATCATCAAATACCAATGATGATACATTTTAATCGACTTTGAAGCAATTTTCAAACTCGCCTTTTATTTCTGGTATGACTGTTTCATGCGTAGTGCTACAGTATACTACTCCATATGATATAATCATCAGGTAGGTAGGTGTTTACTCCTGTGGATATATTCATACAAGGAATTTTCAAACCATAAACGGATTAGTTATATTACCACTGATAATAATGATAATAATAATAATAACAGGTTTATTGCAAACAGTATTTGTGGTACAGGTATGGAATTTTCAGCGTGCATTGCAATATTGCATCTAATCACCTCATAAAATTTTATAAGATTTTAAAAACAAAAAGCAACAACAACGATAAAAAAATAGATAAATAAAAAGAAATTGAAAAAAGAACAGCATTGCATTCACATATTTAAACAATGCACCACAGGAATATGAAATACAAAATTAGTGTGTAACAGCAGATGTGAACAACAATATAACAGTAACGAAGAAAGGAAAACAAAAACTAATGGGAACTATTTGTTCGATTGCCGCAGTAAGTTGATCGTGTCATACCCCTAACGGATTTCTCATCACATAACAGCTGTGCCAGATAAGGTATTGTGGAGTTTTTGTACTTGGTAGTCCTAGCATATAGCCTCCTGTAGCTGCTTCTAGTTCTACCAGATGAAATGCAAGGAGAGAGCTGCGTATAGAGAGGATGCTCAGGGTGTGACAACATAGTATTCGCTAGTTTCTTACGTGACATTATATGTCTATCCACAATAGTGTTAACCAGTTGGTTAAACGATATCCCACTTGCCCTACTAACAGCTTTTAGTGCCATTTTCAGCAAAGCAAAATCTTTCTTAAGTAGTCCAGGAAAGATTAATGGGGAGCAGTAAAGAGGGATGGATAGAATACAAGAATTGACAAACTGAGAAAGCAAAGACTGCCTTAATTTCCTAACGTAGGACGTTAAGCGAAACATCTTTCTAGTCACTAGCAATATGTGAGAAGACCAGGAAAGATCGGAGGAAATACTCAGTCCAAGGTACTTGACCTTAGATTTAGTTTCAACCTCTATGCCGTGGGGGGGGGGGGCCTTATGAGCTAGCTAGTTGTTGTAGGTCACGTTTTCGTGTGAAAGTGAAATTGACTACCTGACATTTAGACGGATTTAGCCTAAGACTGTTTGAAGAGGACCACTGACTAATTTCCGACAGAAAGTAATTTAATTTGGAACAACCTGACTGAGAGTTGACAGGCATGGAGACAGAGAGGTCATCAGCATACTTGACAAAAGTGGCTACATCAGAATGGAGCAAGTCATGTAAGGAAACAGAAAAGGAGAAAGAACAGCACCTTGAGGAACACCAGCTAAAGTAAGTGAGGTAGTGGACGAGTTTCCATTGTAGACGGTGTACTGCTTCCTATCAGAAAAATAGGAATGCGACCACTTATTTGTCCAGCTCTCAGCCTGTGTTGCAGCAAGCTTACTTAGCAAGAGAGACCTAGGTACAGAGTCAAATGCAGATGTGTAATCAAGGAAGGCACACCTAACGTATTTAGCTCCTCTATCTAAACTAGAGACTCTATTATGATATAGAACAACATGGTTACAACATATCGACTCTTTCACAAAGATGAACAATAATAATACCACTAGGATAACGGATTACACAGCAATGCTTATCCAATAAAAGAATACCTTTATGAGTGAGTGTAAGACGTCACACCCATTGATGACATTCTACTTCAAGGCAAGGAAGATGGTGTTTCAAAGGCCGAAATCTATCAACATCAGTCAAGCAACCATAATCAATAGTTCAGTGATCAAAGCTTTGAACTCATCACCTGAAGGCCCTGGGTAGCATAGACACCTAGAAGCATTCATTGTGCGTGCATGCACTACTACTGCTGAACTATTCCAAAATAACGCACGACGATGAGACAGCTATCCCAGTCTTCTCTGATTTTCAAACACCAGCTGATAATTTAATCGGGCGGAAGGGTCGATTACATTCGCTCAACACAAAGAGAGATACAGATAGACAGACAAAGTCAAATAACAATGTGGAGACGTGGCAGCTCATTGGTTTCACTACATGACTTCCAGTCACAGAAGGCTCTCAACAGTTCGAATCCTACTCCACCACCTACTTTGGTGCAACCTAACCTGACCAACTAACTCGGTATTATCATCAGCTCTCTCTCTCTCTCAGAACAAGTGTGGCGAGTGGCACACAGTCACATGGAATATGAAAAACTCCTTCTGGGAACTCAATTAAAACAATAAGTAACTGTAAAAGACAGTTACTGCTGTTCTTTTTCCCCGTCTTATTATTATCATCATCATTAGCATCGTTGAACTAAACTCTAATCGATGGAGCATAACAGAAAAGCTGACAACACACGCTGGGGAAGAGTATTATACAAACATGTGTGTATGTGTGTGATTTACCTTCTTCCTGTTATTCAGTAACAACTTCCTTCTCACTACCTGTGAATGATGTTCAACTAACTGTGCCTGTACTTCTTCCACTGTTGCCTGCATTTTCTTATTATCTTTGATTAGTAAATCCAATACTCCTTGATATTCCTGAAACACAAATCAATAATTTTAAAAAAATCAATAAATAACTATGGAAAATCACAGATAAATGCATAAGACAAATATATGCAACAAAGAAGGTGTTAACCACTCACAACAACATTTCAAATTCAAAGCAATTCAATCGATCACAAATTGGCTGACTTCGATTAGACGACAGCCAGTGAAAACCAACGCGGAGGACTTGACAGAGCTGATTCATTATTGTCTGGGACTTCTTCTCTCTCCCTCTGAGTAGTAGACACTCATCACATAAAATATAACAATATATCACAAAGCCACGCGACGACCTACAAGTTAACAAGGACAGTAAGTATACTATTCAGTCCAAGGAAGGGAAGGAATTCAATAACTTGTGGACTCTTTGACGACTTTTGTCAATTCACGATACTCCACCATCACCAGGTAATGTCAACAACGATTATCATTCAGTCAGTCCTCACACCCAACTACTTCGTGCATCTTCCTGCGCTCATGACTCTAACCAAATAGAACCACAGGCAACTTCATCATCCACTCATGCTCAGTATTCATCACCAACTGACTTCAATTAGCAATGAATCAATCAATCAATTCCCTGAAAACCAACATTTCACAATTCCATTAACCTTTTTTTGCTTATAACTGTTATAACTGGGATGCAAGCGCCCACTACACCACTAATTCCCCCCCCCCCCCCCGCCTAGTCTGAATCAGCGCTATTTGTTATGTTGGTGTTGTTGTTTTTTCAAATCACATACTTTCACAGTAACGCCAAGGATGATTCACAGAGGACCGCACACAATTTCTGTTATAGGACCATTGTGGACTGTCAGTTGGCATCGTTTACGGTAACAACTACAATGGTATCTTATCATCTTGGAAACTCTGAATTCCGCTGTAGTCTGCCTGGAAATCAATTAAACGAGAATTTCACCTCTAATACTCTCCTAAACATAACTTCACATCCGAAAACAAACATTACACAACCCAATTCCTTACTTCAGTGTTTCACCATGCAAGCAGTTTTACACAAAAACCTTTGTCTCGATCTGTCAAAACTGCTCGAAGTCAAGCTTTTCTCTGCTCCTGACGACAACCCGTCGAAAGCATCAGGAAGCATGACTACAAAATTGGAAACAAGACACGCCCACTCATCTCCATCATTATCACCACCCACCAACCCACCCGCTTACACAGGCACAACTGAAAGCCTGTACACAGACACTGCATCAAGTCGAACACTACTACTCATGATAGTCGGCGAAACCGTTAACAAGCGCACCAGCATGCGACCCCACTAACCAGGTCCAACTAAACGCCTTTTAACTGGACCAACTCTTCAATGTACGCAATCGCAGCTAGAATGTCGGAAGAATAGCAAACTACAGACTTGTTCAAGTACAAATCACACCGTCACCAACACACACACACACACACACACCTGGAGATGACAATGTCAGCACCATATAGCTTAATGAATTAGTGAAACTCTGATTTCCCGCAGTAGCAGATCTTTCTTACTCATTCGATTATCAGCTCCACACCTCGTGTGTGTGTGTGTGTGTGAACGCTGCTTGTCATATACTACTCACTCGCTCAGGTCAAAATAATGAGTACGACTGTATTCCAGCCCGAGATTCACTAGATGAAAGTCAAGCGGTTAAACAAGGTAGTCAGGTCACTCAACCACCTCAACGTATTAACACGACAGTTGCGCGAGGCCTAAGGGTTCGATTCCCGAGGAATACACTACAAAACACTTCGTTGACTGCTCGCCAGTAAAGTCGGAAAACACGAGGGTTGGAAGTAACACTAGCAATCCTACCACCACCCCGTGGAAGAACAACACACCTACCGAAACTTCAAATGCCTTAAGTTCCATCTTCTACTTGGGACTGATGGAGTGAGTGAGAAATAAAAAGATTCTAATTCAATCAACGGGAGGGATTTGAAAGAGGTTACTTCATTCACTCATCTAGGGAGCATTGTCTCAACTACAGGAGGAACGGACGAGGATGTCAAATCGAGAGTCGGGAAGGCGAGAAACACATTCATCAACATGAAACCAATATGGAAATCTTCGTCACTCAGCATCAACAACAAAATTCCGATTTTCAATACAAACGTCAAGTCAGTCAGTTCTTCTATACGGATCAGAAACTTGGCCAGTGTGTCACAAAGAATATTTCCAACAGCCTGTTGCAGACCTTTATCAACAACTGTCTTCGTTCTATACTGAAGATCAAATGGCCAGAAAGAATCACCAACAAGAAACTATGGGAACAAACAAAACAAGAACCAATCGCTCAACAAATATGCAGGAGGAAGTGGAGATGGATTGGACACTCGCTGGCTGAGGAGGCCGCTGGGTGACATCGGGCGTCAGGCCAACGCTTGAGTGGAACCCGAAAGGGAAGCAGCGAGTGGGACGTCCAAGGGTGACACGGAGGAGATCGTGTGAAGAGGAGCTGAAACAGTATGGACTAACATGGATGCAGGTGAAAAGTATAGCAGAAGACAGAAACAAGTGGAGACGTGCAGTTGAAGCCCTATGTTCCACTAGGAACCCAAGGGAACAATAATAATAACAATAAATAATTCAATTTGGCTGATTGTGTCTTTGTATCAGCATAGTCATCATTGTCAACCTTTAAATCTTTAAATAACTCAACGACTACTCCATAACGCTTACAAAATGTCAGTCTCGTGTGATTCATTAGTCCTTCACTCGGGATTTCACTTAAACACACACTAAATTTTCACATTCAAAACAATTTCCCGGGCAAATCAGGCAGGATATGGAAATAAAATTACTCTAATTGATGAAATCTATCACCACATTACAACAATTACGCATCTTCATTCTCCTCTAACACTGCTTTCACAGTCGAATACATTCATACTACGTAAGACAAACTTTTAAATGTTCGATTTTCACCCATGCAAGTACTGGGTGATAGGGTAGGGTCAGGTAGGGAGATGCAGACTTCCGCGTTGGGGCCCACCCTCGGGACTCTAAGAATCAATGGCTGGAGACAATAGGTGACATGGCTCAAAATCGTTGTCAATGGCATACACAGATGTATTCAGTCTCTGTAATCTTTCATATTCCTTTCTACCACTACTCATTCTGTTTCACTCTTATACTTGTCAAAACTCTATTGATTCTCTTCACTCTACCTTTGTGTGCTATTTGGAACTTGGCAACTCGAACTGCTGCACTTCGGTGCCAAGTTCTATGTTGAATCCAGACAGACAGACCCTATCACCAGCCAACTGTATGGACATGCAAGTGATTGGTTCTTCACTTCTCAGTGGAAAAATCAGCTACCACAGCTACGGAAACTCCAAAGCTTCAAACCATGCTATATTTTCACTCGGAATACAACAAAGGAGGCCCTCTCATCCACCGAATGGCTAAAACGACGAGTTCGACGTATGACCGAGAGTGAAGTGGAGGAGGAGGAGGTATCGTGCCACAAAGAAATGAAAAAACACATGCATACTTATCGAATCAGATGAGGACGACTATAAAGATAACAAAAGGATTAAAAATGGAGATGTCCTGTTCATTCAAGCCCTCGCTTCTGACCCACCCCCTCCACTTCTTTTTCTCTACAATGAAATCAAGTCAAATCAAAAACAATAATAAACACACACACACACAGACACACTCAAATCATCAACTTGCTTACTTTCTCCTTATTTGTAACTTCCACTAATTTCTCCATTAAGACATACACTTGATCAAATGTTGGTTTCAACTCTGTAGTTATTAAATGTTCACATTTCTCAAGCATTGATAAGCTATCCACAGCACGATTGAATGCTTCAAATAATCGATGAATATCTGATTCAACTGCATACAATTGACTTTCTACATCTGATATTAATTTTGGTAATAGCTCACAATTGTCTATCAATGAACATTGTACAGTTTCACAATCTTCATTGATGCGTTGAATTTTATTTTTATATGATTCTATCTAAAAATTAGAATTAAAAAATGGGGGGGGGGCAAATATCAATCAGTTGACAACGACGACTATTGACTGACTGACAGACTGATTGAGTTTCCAATGTGGGACTTTGTGTACAGAAGTGCGTGTAGCAGTAGCAGTGGTTCAAGTTGCTTGACACACTCATCAATATACCACACAACAACACAGGTGTAGAGGAAAGAAAGCACTCAAATGACCTATTATTCATAAGGAGCAGAAATGTGTCTGGGAGGAACATGAGGACTAAATGAGTTTGCGATACACAGAGAGAGAGAGAGTGGGTGGGTCATTCACAATCATCTTCAGACATATGACTAACAGTCTCCAGCTAAAGTTTCTTACTTAGCATCGCAACTACCTCAAATGGGCAGTTTAAATCGACCCACCCACCATCACCCACTGCTGACACCTTATGTGCGGGGTCAAACCAACAGTCATCAATTAGAAGACGTCAGCCTTTTATTCGAACAAGACATGTAAGCGAACAATATTGCTGTTTTCAATTAGAACTTCTTCAGGCTTTACTCTAATTTACATAGATTTATAAATAAACAAATTTTAACCAATGACAGTGATTTTGTGAATCAAATAATAATAATAATGATAATGATAGTAATAATAATAACAATAATGTGGTGAATGTTTTGAGCGTCACTTATAACGATGATTATAATGATAACAAAATAATGATAATAAGGTTTATGCATGTAACGATAAAACCTCGCCTAGCTAACTAGCTCACCAGTTTTATAGCCTGTCCCAAGCCCGGGTAAAGAGAGAGGGTTGGGCGTGGGACTAGCAACCCCACACTACTAAGTCTTTAAAACCGCTAGAGAAACTTCAACACACAGAAAATACATTAAAAATACAAAAAACTTCAAAAAATAAATATCTTATTCTTCGCTTGAATCGGAGAGACTAAATGACACAGCGGGCTGGCTGGTGGAAGCCTTCGGGAAGCCAGTCAGCCGATGTGTCTTCTCTCAATGAAAGTAAGACTAAGAATAGCGACGTGGAATGTCCGTACAATGTACGAGACTGGGAAGCCTGTCCATGTAGCCAAAGAGATGCGAAGATATGGCTTAGAAGTGCTGGGTATCTGCGAAAGCAAACAGAATGTATGTGGATTGATAGCACTTTCAATGGGAGAGCCAATAATCTATTCCGGTCATCCAGACGACAACCACGAACACACTGAGGGAGTGGCTATCATGGTGTCACCAGTGGCAGCCAAAACCCTAATGCAGTGCAGTGGGAACCAATATCATCCAGGATCATGACAGCGAGATTCGACTCAAAAGGAACGAAGGTAACAATTATCCAATGCTACGCACACTGCTACAAACAATGCAGAACATGAAAAGAAAGAGGGTTTTTACAGACAACTACAAACATTAATGGATAACATCCCAAATGGTGACATCAAAATCCTTATGGGCGATATGAATGCAAGCCGGACTGGGAGCAGATAATACAGGAAGAGAACTCATCATGGGTCGACAGGCTCTCACTCGGAGAAATGAATGAGAACGGAGAATTATCCGCAGACTTCTGCTCTTTCAACGATTTGGTGATCGCAGGGAGCGTGTACAAACACAAGGCAACATGGATTTCACCTGACGGACATACTACAAACCAAATAGATTTCATATCAATCTCAAGGAAGTGGAGACGCAGCTAGTCTGCTGGATACAAAGTTGAGAAGGGGAGATGTGGGCTCAGACCATTATCTAGTTCAAGGAACCTTCAAGGTGAAGCTGAGATCCATGAAAACAAAAGGAGACAGACCACAATTCAATTTCAACATTCAGAAACTGAAGGAGAAAGCTACAAGGGATACCTTCACTACAGATCTGATTACAGCAAAGTTGGAGACTCTACGTGTTATCACCGAGGGAACCTGTATGGAAGAACACTGGAACTCTCTGAAAGCGATATTCAAGGAAATGTGTACAACTGTTTTAGGAAGAAAGAAGAGACACGATTAGGAATGGCTGTCAACGGACGTCTACCTGGAAGTTAATCGAGGAGAGGAGGATGGTGGGAGAGATGACTCAATGTAAAGATGAACAACAGAAGGAGAAGCTGAGTTTAATGTCCACTGTACTGAAGAGTGCTAGGGAAGACAAAAAACAATTCTACGACACACTGGTAACTGAAGATAACAGGCCGCAGGCAAAAGAGACATCAGCACACTATATCATATAACCACGCTGCTCGCCATCCGGGAAGAGATCAACCCAGATGATAAAAACAAATAAAAGATGCTCAAGGGAACCTGATCACCAGGGAGAAACAGATCAAACAATGGGCTGATCACTTTAAAGGACTCTTGAATCGACCACCACCGGCAACTCGCCCAGAAATACCACCAACAGCACACACGGAAAGGCCTGACAGTGGACACCACTCCTGCAACGAAAAAAGAAATCCTGAATGCGATCAAGCTACTGAAGTCGGCGAAGGCAGCAGGACCAGACGGAATTCCTCCTGAACCACTGAAGACGGCACCAGAGATTACGGCAGGTGTTCTCACTACATTACTGCAAAAACTTAGGAAAGAAGGAAAGGTGCCAACTGATTGGAAGAAGTGCTACCTCGTCAAACTGCCAAAGAAAGGCGACTTAGGCTTCACTGTGCAAGAACTGGCGTGGAATAATGCTCTTGTCCACGCCAAGTAAAATACTAAGTCGCATCATCTTGGAGAGAATAAAGGATGCACTGGATTCAGGAAAAGCAAGTCATGTGATGATCAAATTACACTCTAAGCATCGTCATTGAACAAAGCATAGAATGGCAGTCAAATCTCTACCTCAACTTCCTCGACTTCGAAAAGGCCTTCACCAGACGGCGTTGACCAAGAAGTAGTTTGAAAACTACTACAACACTAAGGTGCACTTTGAGTCGTCTTCGTCAACCTCATTCTACAGCTATGTGACAATACCATGTGTCAAGTGATCCGCAACGGAAAACTCAGCGAGACGTCCGAAGTGCATACAGAAGTCAAACAAGGCTGCCTATTATCACTAATGATATTCTTAATTGTGGTGGACTGACTTGATTATGTGGCAGACTGTTGGAGGCGAGGAGTCAGCAATACGCTGGACGACCGATAAGAAGACACTAGAAGATCTGGATTTCGCTTTCGGATGATATATGTCTGTCACACAAACTTGAAGACTTGCAAGCGAAAACCAACAAACTGGCTGAAGACACTGGCAGCGAAAACAGGACTGCAGGTAAACACAGAGAAGACGGAGGTGGTGAATATAACCAATTAACAGTAACAACAACAAGCACCAATCACCATCAACGGGAGAGATTTCACAGAGGTTACTTCCTTCACTCATCTAAACAGGAAACATCGTTTCAACTACAGGCGGAACGTACGCATTTCAAAGTCGGAATCGGAAAGGCAAGACACGCCTTCATCAACCTGAAACCAGTTTGGAAATCTCCTGCACTCCGCCTCAGCAGCATAGGGAACAAGATTCGCATTTTCAACACCAATGTGAAATCAGTCCTTCTATACGGATCAGAAACTTGCACTGCGTGTCACGAAAAGGATTCCCAACAGGTTGCATCATCAACAGCTCCCTTCGCTCTATACTTAAGATCAAATGGCTGGATACAAACCAAGCAAGAGCAGACTTCTCAACAAATATGTAGCAGAAAGTGGAGATGGATCGGGAACATATTGAGGAAACCGTAGAATGACGTCGAGCGCCAGGCCCTCGAGTGGAATCCCAATGAGAAGCAACGAGTGGGTCGTCCTGGGTTGACATGGAGGAGATTATAGGCAATTGTGGACCCAGATGGACCCATGAGATTCCATCCTGTCAAACGTACGATGATCCTGCACGACTCAGCTGCAACAACTCCTAGCTTAAAGACAGAGGGAAGCGAAGTGGTAGAGTGTGTCGAACACTTCACTTATGGCTGTCACACATGGTCGTTGAAATCACAAAACATTAAAATGCCAGCTGCCTTTCATCACAGGTGTCTGCTTCTTCCCCACCGTCTTAAGTGGTATAATATGGTAAGCAATATCGAGGTCATATGGAGTGTATTGGGTAAAGACAATTGGGCAAAACAAACAATCACGTTGTGAAGCTGGATCGATTGAAACAGCTACAGCATCTGTTACCCATGCGAATCCACGCCACCATCGACATACAATGTTAGCCGACAAACGATTAGATTAGAGAGCAGTAACAGACGGTCAAACCAAAAGCTGACATCATTCAGTCAGTCAATGAAATCGCTCACACAGAGTTTAAACCATGTAGGAAGGCGTACACTCCCTGACCGGGGTCCTCACAACTCTAAGGACCAATCACCAATGGATGCAAACTATGGCAGATATGGCTACAAAATCTTTCTCAATGGCAGAGATGCATTCACTTCTTGTCATTTCCCCCATCCATGAAAAAACCTAATGTTTTTCCATGTTTCTACTCATTCTTCATCACATTTCTATTTATCATAGTACTTCTGAATCCATTCTTCCTCTCTTTCCTCCACACCTTCGTGTGCTACATGGAATGTGGAGACTCGAACTGCTGCACTTCTGCGCCAACTTCTATGTTAGGTCTCAGCCAACAGGGATAGATGGATGGATGCAAGTACCAGGTATCTCTGCACGCTTGCATCACCTCAGAAACCATATACTTATTATGCAGCTTAGTCATTTTCTATTCATTCATACACTGTCGTTACAATCTTTCTCCTCCCTTCCTACCTTTCTTTCTTTCTTTCCGACTGTTACTCATCACTCAGACAGGATTAGAAACCATGCTTACCTCTTTCTAGTCTCACAGTCCCCACAGTCACAAACTGCAACTTTCAATATCTCAAAACTATATGTCAGATAGTACAAATATTTATTACATTCAAAGATCAGGCCATCAATTACTATTGTACCACTCAGTCACATAAGACTTAAACACAAATAACTGTTCGGTTAAACTCCACCTAAGATAATAAATATCAAATCGTCTGACGAATAGTCTTGACCTCTACAGTAGAACAAAATCCACTCTTCACAACTGCATCTCCCCGTGGATATTCATTCATGTGTGCTGTGTACTATTTGACTAATAAGGGATTTGTGACAACAAACAAAAACTTTACATATACACACTCATTTAAATTCCCTTCCGTAGTCTACGCCCACCTGGTCACTCATCTCAGTCTGAACAAAGTGAACTTTCATTTTTACAAGCCATCTAGAGAGTGTAGCACATCAAAACAACGCCTGGACAAAACAGCCTACACCAATAACCTCAATACAGCATGAACAATAATGGAAAAACGAATCAAAGGTACGAGATTCATTCCACGTTATAACGTGAAACGCTAATGTCATCAACTTCAACTGAAATTTAGCAATTCCTTCCCAACATATCACTAGCAGTCTTTACATGAAAGGTGAAAAAACTGTTTCCAAGTGCTATTGCTAATTACGTCATTGACAGGCGATGCACGCTTGAAATCAATCGTCTTCAAAATAATCAATATATAGAAACATCGAGAGAGAGTGAGAGAGAGAAAAAGAGATAAGGAACACTTTAGTTACATCAGTTTGCAGAAACCATTCACAACACACGTAGAGTCAATTGATTGTGATTAACTAACGAAATTCCCTGTCATCACCTATAGGCAGGATATGTCTCGACAAACTGTTCCCTTCCAATATATTTTCACTTCCAGTTCATCTTATAATCAAACCACATCGACTAATACCAAACTTCCATATGCGAGAAAACGAAACATACCTGAAGCTTTTTCTTTTCACACGAAGAAACCAACGATCGGTAAAGATCTTCTCTAGATGCAACCATAGCACTCTTCTCAGCATAGCATGACTTCAAGCGGCACAGTTCTGCCTCAAGACCTTTGATTCTCTCACGCCTCTCACACTCTGCTTCTTGCAGACGCTGTAATTCACACTCGCGAGTTCTATTCGATTCCAACAATTCCTTATACATATCTCTCCTTTCTCTGGCTGACTCAACCACCTTTGGAAAAGAAAATTAAATGAGTAGCTTCATTCAACACAAATTGTGTGTATACTCACCTCGAGAACTTCTGTAAAATCACAGTCGAACCACGAAACGAAAACCGAGAGAAAGGGTACCCATTTATTCCGTTCTCTCTGCTCACCGAAATCATCCAAAGTAAAATGTCCCTCGAATCCTAAACTGCTGGCTGTTACCATCACCAATGTGATAAATTCGTGCTTCAAAGGATTCTCTAGCTTCATATCGTAGAAGAGACAAAGAAGTTGTGAGAGTATATCATCCATGTAATCACCTGTTCTCATTGTCACCAATCATAAATACACGTGTGATTATTCACGATTTACCATTATCAAACAGCCTCACTGGATCAACAGGTTTGCCAATCACTAGAGACATGCATCTCGCTATCTCTTCTACGATATGAAGCTAGAGAATCCTTTGAAGCACGAATTTATCACATTGGTGATGGTAACAGCCAGCAGTTTAGGATTCGAGGGACATTTTACTTTGAATGATTTCGGTGAGCAGAGAGAACGGAATAAATGGGTACCCTTTCTCTCGGTTTTCGTTTCGTGGTTCGACTGTGATTTTACAGAAGTTCTCGAGGTGAGTATACACACAATTTGTGTTGAATGAAGCTACTCATTTAATTTTCTTTTCCAAAGGTGGTTGAGTCAGCCAGAGAAAGGAGAGATATGTATAAGGAATTGTTGGAATCGAATAGAACTCGCGAGTGTGAATTACAGCGTCTGCAAGAAGCAGAATGTGAGAGGCGTGAGAGAATCAAAGGTCTTGAGGCAGAACTGTGCCGCTTGAAGTCATGCTATGCTGAGAAGAGTGCTATGGTTGCATCTAGAGAAGATCTTTACCGATCGTTGGTTTCTTCGTGTGAAAAGAAAAAGCTTCAGGTATGTTTCGTTTTCTCGCATATGGAAGTTTGGTATTAGTCGATGTGGTTTGATTATAAGATGAACTGGAAGTGAAAATATATTGGAAGGGAACAGTTTGTCGAGACATATCCTGCCTATAGGTGATGACAGGGAATTTCGTTAGTCAATCACAATCACAATCAATTGACTCTACGTGTGTTGTGAATGGTTTCTGCAAACTGATGTAACTAAAGTGTTCCTTATCTCTTTTTCTCTCTCTCACTCTCTCTCGATGTTTCTATATATTGATTATTTTGAAGACGATTGATTTCAAGCGTGCATCGCCTGTCAATGACGTAATTAGCAATAGCACTTGGAAACAGTTTTTTCACCTTTCATGTAAAGACTGCTAGTGATATGTTGGGAAGGAATTGCTAAATTTCAGTTGAAGTTGATGACATTAGCGTTTCACGTTATAACGTGGAATGAATCTCGTACCTTTGACTCGTTTTTCCATTATTGTTCATGCTGTATTGAGGTTATTGGTGTAGGCTGTTTTGTCCAGGCGTTGTTTTGATGTGCTACACTCTCTAGATGGCTTGTAAAAATGAAAGTTCACTTTGTTCAGACTGAGATGAGTGACCAGGTGGGCGTAGACTACGGAAGGGAATTTAAATGAGTGTGTATATGTAAAGTTTTTGTTTGTTGTCACAAATCCCTTATTAGTCAAATAGTACACAGCACACAAGAATGAATATCCACGGGGAGATGCAGTTGTGAAGAGTGGATTTTGTCCTATAGGACAAAAGTGCCACTTGAGGACATAATGCTGGGAGTACAGCTATGCCTGACTTCCACAGTATTTAAATTTCAAGGGAAAATATACAAACAAACTGAAGGAGTTGCCATGGGATCACCAATATCCCCAGTTGTAGCAGATATATTCATGGATAAGTGGGAGAACATAGCGATTGAAACGTTCACCCCCACCCCAAAAGTATGGTGGAGGTATGTCGATGACACATTCACTGTACTTAAAACACAAGATATAGATAGGTTTTTCGAACACATCAACTCGAAGGTGGAAGCAATTCAATTCACTTATGAATTGGAAAATCAGGAAGGGGAGCTCCCAATGTTAGATTGCAACGTGAAGAGGAAAGAAGATGGGAAGTTAAACACTAGTGTTTACAGGAAACCCACACACTCAAACAGATATTTAGACTTCCGATCGTCCCATCCTATGTCAGTAAAAATAGGATTGATGAAATGTTTAAATGACAGAGCACAAAAACTAAGTAGTACCAAAGAAAATCTAAAACAGGAACTGATACACATAAAAGAAGCTTTGAAACTTAATAATTACCCGGATAAATTAATCAAGAAATATGTAAGGAAATGTAAAAATAAAATAAATAATGATAGTAGCGATAGTGATAATAATAATAATAATGTTAATAATAATAGTGATAATAATAATAATAATATTAATGACGACACCAATAATAAGAAATCTAAATCATCAGTAGTAATTCCATACAAGGAAGGAACCTCGGAAGCTTTACGCAGAATTGTTAACAAGGTAGGAATAAAAATGGCATTCAAACCCACAAACTCAATTAGAAACAAGCTTTGTCGGTTAAAGGATCCTGTAGAGCCCTTAAAACAAAACAATTTATTTTATCTCACACCCTGTAATGATTGTCAGGTCAAATACATAGGTCAAACTAGTAGAACAGGGGCAGTCAGACTAGCTGAACACAAAAACCTAGCAAAATCTCGATTGGTTGACCCGAATAAGATAAGAAATCTAGAGAATAGTTCAGCTATAGCACTACATGCAGTTACACACAACCACACAATAGGATGGGATAGGATGACAGTTTTAAAATCTAATGTCACAGGGTATAGGGAGAGATTGATAACAGAAGCTTTGTTTATCGAATCAACTACAAATACATGTAATAGGAATGATTCATCACCTGTCCCCGATATCTGGAAAATTCTACTACCCAAACGACAAATAGGAGAGAACAAAGGAAACTATAAAACTCAAGTGTCAAAGTCGTGTGATTATAATTGATATGATTATGAACAATAAATTTTGTTCGAAACGTCATCCAGTAAATAATACTGTTTCACTGTGTGATATATCAAATAAACAAACTAATATGGAATTGTGGACCCAGATGGACCCATGAGATTCCATCCTGTCAAACGTACGATGATCCTGCACGACTCAGCTGCAACAACTCTTAGCTTAAAGACAGAGGGAAGCGAAGTGGTAGAGTGTGTCGAACACTTCACTTATGGCTGTCACACATGGTCGTTGAAATCACAAAACATTAAAATGCCAGCTGCCTTTCATCACAGGTGTCTGCTTCTTCCCCACCGTCTTAAGTGGTATAATATGGTAAGCAATATCGAGGTCATATGGAGTGTATTGGGTAAAGACAATTGGGCAAAACAAACAATCACGTTGTGAAGCTGGATTGATTGAAACAGCTACAGCATCTGTTACCCATGCGAATCCACGCCACCATCGACATACAATGTTAGCCGACAAACGATTAGATTAGAGAGCAGTAACAGACGGTCAAACCAAAAGCTGACATCATTCAGTCAGTCAATGAAATCGCTCACACAGAGTTTAAACCATGTAGGAAGGCGTACACTCCCTGACCGGGGTCCTCACAACTCTAAGGACCAATCACCAATGGATGCAAACTATGGCAGATATGGCTACAAAATCTTTCTCAATGGCAGAGATGCATTCACTTCTTGTCATTTCCCCCATCCATGAAAAAACCTAATGTTTTTCCATGTTTCTACTCATTCTTCATCACATTTCTATTTATCATAGTACTTCTGAATCCATTCTTCCTCTCTTTCCTCCACACCTTCGTGTGCTACATGGAATGTGGAGACTCGAACTGCTGCACTTCTGCGCCAACTTCTATGTTAGGTCTCAGCCAACAGGGATAGATGGATGGATGCAAGTACCAGGTATCTCTGCACACTTGCATCACCTCAGAAACCATATACTTATTATGCAGCTTAGTCATTTTCTATTCATTCATACACTGTCGTTACAATCTTTCTCCTCCCTTCCTACCTTTCTTTCTTTCTTTCCGACTGTTACTCATCACTCAGACAGGATTAGAAACCATGCTTACCTCTTTCTAGTCTCACAGTCCCCACAGTCACAAACTGCAACTTTCAATATCTCAAAACTATATGTCAGATAGTACAAATATTTATTACATTCAAAGATCAGGCCATCAATTACTATTGTACCACTCAGTCACATAAGACTTAAACACAAATAACTGTTCGGTTAAACTCCACCTAAGATAATAAATATCAAATCGTCTGACGAATAGTCTTGACCTCTACAGTAGAACAAAATCCACTCTTCACAACTGCATCTCCCCGTGGATATTCATTCATGTGTGCTGTGTACTATTTGACTAATAAGGGATTTGTGACAACAAACAAAAACTTTACATATACACACTCATTTAAATTCCCTTCCGTAGTCTACGCCCACCTGGTCACTCATCTCAGTCTGAACAAAGTGAACTTTCATTTTTACAAGCCATCTAGAGAGTGTAGCACATCAAAACAACGCCTGGACAAAACAGCCTACACCAATAACCTCAATACAGCATGAACAATAATGGAAAAACGAGTCAAAGGTACGAGATTCATTCCACGTTATAACGTGAAACGCTAATGTCATCAACTTCAACTGAAATTTAGCAATTCCTTCCCAACATATCACTAGCAGTCTTTACATGAAAGGTGAAAAAACTGTTTCCAAGTGCTATTGCTAATTACGTCATTGACAGGCGATGCACGCTTGAAATCAATCGTCTTCAAAATAATCAATATATAGAAACATCGAGAGAGAGTGAGAGAGAGAAAGAGATAAGGAACACTTTAGTTACATCAGTTTGCAGAAACCATTCACAACACACGTAGAGTCAATTGATTGTGATTGTGATTAACTAACGAAATTCCCTGTCATCACCTGTAGGCAAGATATGTCTCGACAAACTGTTCCCTTCCAATATATTTTCACTTCCAGTTCATCTTATAATCAAACCACATCGACTAATACCAAACTTCCATATGCGAGAAAACGAAACATACCTGAAGCTTTTTCTTTTCACACGAAGAAACCAACGATCGGTAAAGATCTTCTCTAGATGCAACCATAGCACTCTTCTCAGCATAGCATGACTTCAAGCGGCACAGTTCTGCCTCAAGACCTTTGATTCTCTCACGCCTCTCACACTCTGCTTCTTGCAGACGCTGTAATTCACACTCGCGAGTTCTATTCGATTCCAACAATTCCTTATACATATCTCTCCTTTCTCTGGCTGACTCAACCACCTTTGGAAAAGAAAATTAAATGAGTAGCTTCATTCAACACAAATTGTGTGTATACTCACCTCGAGAACTTCTGTAAAATCACAGTCGAACCACGAAACGAAAACCGAGAGAAAGGGTACCCATTTATTCCGTTCTCTCTGCTCACCGAAATCATCCAAAGTAAAATGTCCCTCGAATCCTAAACTGCTGGCTGTTACCATCACCAATGTGATAAATTCGTGCTTCAAAGGATTCTCTAGCTTCATATCGTAGAAGACACAAAGAAGTTGTGAGAGTATATCATCCATGTAATCACCTGTTCTCATTGTCACCAATCATAAATACACGTGTGATTATTCACGATTTACCATTATCAAACAGCCTCACTGGATCAACAGGTTTGCCAATCACTAGAGACATGCATCTCGCTATCTCCACAACAGCCATAATTTCTGAAGTAAATAACAAGAAACAAGGAAGAGAGTGGGCATGAAGTTAACAAATTAGAAAGTATGCAGAAAATATGCATCCTCACGAGGAGAATATCTGCATTTTGAAAATCTAATCGTTTTTAAACAATAATACAAACTTACACAGACGACACTTAGCATTACATCACAAATATGCTACATCACGGACACAAAGAAGTGTACCATACATAGTCTCTCATAACTTCTGAGACGACTGGAATACTTCGAGGATATCAAGACCAAGACAGGCCTTTCGCCGAGCTTTTCACTTGAAGTCTCACCCACAAGGCAGTCGACTAGCGTCAGCACCTACATGCAATGGTCCCCACTCGCCTAAATAGCTACATACACCACTTGATCCTTGCATATTCTAGTGCTCATATGCGCAGCAAAAAATACCATCACAACAGTAACTCATTATATGCACGACTGACATCAACAGTTGTGATCAGAGAAGAATGTTACCATAGTTATTTTCCAAAATATCACTGCTGCACTGAGTCATTCTGTAGAACACAACTTCCATCTTTCAAGCCATCAGCACAAACACCTTTTGTCTGAAGTACGACAGGTGATGCTGCCTACCCAGTTTCCCACGATGAATTGGATGCAGAGGGACTCGAATCTGAAACTAAGTGGCTCAAAGCTTAGTACGTATGTCGATAAGCCACATCTCCATTGCTTTATGGGACAATGAATCGACACAATTTATTGAGCACAAACAATCTAATTCCGCTCTCGTGCATTTGTCCAAATATTCCAGTTGTGACATGCGTTTGGGGTTCGAGTTCCTACTTACCTATCAAGTTAATTAATTCTCTATTCTCAGCTCGCGACAACAGAACTCACCAGGAAATGAACTTCAACAGAGAAGCCACTTTTACATCTTTCTGTACAATAATATGTTCACGGAACATGCACTAGACATAGACTAACTCCTTCGTCATATAGAAAATAGACAAAGACAAAGTCAACCTCCTGAGCTATAAATATTCACCACCATCTCGGAATTACTATTCACTTCCCAAAAATTCACAGGTTGTGGTTCCTCACAAACTAGAACCCACTACACTTTTACACACCACCAACAATATGCTGCTCACGATACACTGCGAAACATCTAAGTCATTCGCCGCCAATACAAGAATTCCATCTATCCTATACTACTTAATACTACATAAATAAAATTTGTGAGGTCGTGAGAACTGCGACGACACAATTGTAGAGGTCTCATTCTTTTGGCACAATAAAAAGTGGAATGATGGAGAGAGGTCTCGTAACTGAGGTAGAGGCTCAGAGCATGGCTGTCTTCCATAAGCAGTGATTTTATTCTGAAGGCTCCTTTGCTCAAACAAAATGAATCTGAAGCTTTCAGTCTCTACAAATCTTCAGCATCAGCCTACTAAGCTCAAAGAAACGTCCAACGAGCAAAACTACAGGCATTCAGACCGTAAACCTAGTCAAACTTATAATCCTATTTAGATCCTCATCTTTCGGTACATTTTATAGTTAACTTTTGCCTGATCACGCCTTTGTATTCTCAACGCGCGAATCAATCCAAGTAGAAAGGCAACGCTGATGTTTGGGAGGAATTGTGTTGGCAGGCATTATTTGTCCCTGCCCGAAATACTCTAATTCCATATCTTAAGGGAGAAATTATAGTACTATATCCAGAGCCAAGGCCTTTCACAAGTTGACCTTCAAAAACCAGACAGATACACGAAATGCTACGAAATGTCAACGTAACTAAAATCACGCCTGCCCTTTTGGACTTGGAGAAGGTAGGTGCAGTATTCCACTTATTATCTAGTTACCTTCTCTTTAAATCCATACTGTTACGTAGGGTTGTGTCTTTTTAGATTATGGTTTAGGGTTAAAGTTGGAATTAGGAGTTAGGATTATGGTTACAATAAGGAGTAGGTTGGAGAATAGTGTCAGAAATATCGGTGAGTCTCAAAGTACCATGACCTACAGTCACTCGGATGAACGGGTATATAGTGCATGGTACGACTCCTACATAGATCATCTGCAGATGTGTTGTAACGGGAAGACATTCTTGAAACACATGAGCTACAAATAAACAGTGTACTATCAAGCTTGCAATATTTCTTACTGTGGTTTCAAACCCTTGTGTGACATTATTGCATCTGGATTCTGACTGGTTGTTCAGGGTCAATATGGTTTAGGCTATGGTAGTTTAACTATGCCATGCTCTCTATTCACTTTCTCTCATGCAAATCCTTCAATCGCAGAAATACACGACAATCACGTGCACTAAACCTTAAACCACTTCAACTCAAGCCAAACCAAACCTCCTCATCTCACCTCACCTGACCTCACGAACAAGCTCAAATTTAAAAGTGTGCGGACAAACAAACTGTGGTTAACCGCGCAACCAAAAGACATTTGCGCAAAACGAATATTCACTTACACAGTGCAAATGGATTACTGTAGAAATCGCACAGTAAGAATATGCTAAATCAGCCTTAACAAAAGTTGCGTGTAGTTATGCGTATTATTTACAGGAACGTCAAATTTGGCTTACTTGAGAGAGAAATCATACTAATTTTGGAGCATCAAATTCAATACAAATCCGTGTTCAGGTTTGTACTTACTGGAAGCCACTGTGTAGAATTCGGTGGTTGTAGATTGACTTAATATACCACAGACTGGTCTAACTGTAACAAACTCAGTTTACAGTTTATAATTTATTTAGGATAGTAGGCCATATGCCTGTGTTAATCATTTCGATTTGCAGCACACAGCAAGCCCAATCTCGCCTTGAATGAATCAACGGATGGCGCTGATACGACGTGTTCTGGTAGGGAGTTCCAATGGTTCACAATTCGCTGCGAAAAACGGACCTCCAGACGCAGACGATTCGGCCGTGGTTTTTGAACCTTGAGGTGATGTCCTCGCAATTGGTTGGTGCTAGAAGGAAGAAATAAATTCGATAAATTTGCTCCAAAATCATTTCTTAGGATACGGTATGCTAGTATTAGGTCACCCCTAAGTCGTCTGTATGACAGTGGAAATAAACCCAGTCGACTTAACCTCTCCTCATATGAGAGGGTTGAGAAACCCTTTATTAGCTTAGTTCCTACTCTTTGCACTCTTTCTAATAAGTCTATTTCGTATTTGAAACACGGGCTCGCTGCCTAGATCCCATATTCCAAAGGATGTCTGATATAAGCCGGATATAATATACGAAATATATCAGCGTCAAAGTTCGCAAAGGCCTTGCGTATGGCCCATAATATTCGAAAACCCTTAGTGGCTGCAGCTCTGCAGTTTGTTGCTGTTTTCAAGTCATGCTGCACAACCACTCCTAAGTCCTTGTACTCAGTGACCACTGGGACAGTAATGCCAATCACTGAGTAATTTTGCACGTGACTATGAGATACATGCATAACTACACTCTTGCTTAAGTTAATCTCCAAGGCCCAGTGCTTACACCAATCACTTAACAAGTTTAAATCTTCCTGTAAAGCAAGTTGATCACTGTCATCGTGTAAAGCCCTCCATATATTGATGTCATCAGCAAACAGTAAGCAGGATGACTTAACTAACGATAGAATCTCATTAACATAAATCAGGAAGAGAAGTGGGCCTAGAATTGTACCCTGAGGAACGCCACTCTTAACCGATTCCCATGTTGATAAAACCCCGTTAACTCGTACTCTTTGTCTTCTGTCCTTTAGAAAGTCTTGAATCCAGTCGGCAACCACTTTATTGATTCCCAGACTACCTGACTTTACTAGAAGACCTGAATGAGAAACCCTGTCAAACGCCTTGCTAAGTTCGATGAATATGGCATCCACCGGTACATTAGCATCAGCTGAGCTTGCCCAACTTTCTCTGGCCAAAAGAAGGTTGGTCAAGCAAGAATAACCTGTTCTAAAACCACGCTGTTCCACAGCGAAAAGTTTATTCCCTTCAATGAACTGAATGATAGCGTCACGAATTGTTCTTTCTAGTAGTTTAACAACAATACTGGTCAAACTAACAGGACGATAGTTCTGAACTAAGTTTCTGGATCCGGTTTTGAAGACCGGACTAATGATGGCATCTTTCCAGTCTCTTGGACATTTAGATCGGTCCAGAGACATATTGAAGATTACCGACAATGGCTCGGCTGTTTTCAGCCAATGCTGTTAATATATGTGGGTGGAGTTCATTAGGGCCACTGGACTTACCAGGATTGAGCCTTAGAAGACACTTTAGGACAGTATCCTTTCCAATGTATAAGGGTGCCATTTTCAAGTTACCTTCTGGACAAGTTACAAAGCTGGTATCAATATTATCAGAGAGTACTTGACTAAAGTGCTTGGACAAAGCCTCAGTCTTAGTCAAGTTATCCTCAGCCATGTTTGTCTGGTCATCTTCAAGCATAAGAGGTGGGATAGCATCACTCTTACGTCTTCTTCTCTTGATATATGAGAAGAGTCTTTTTGGGTAGCCTGGTGAACTTTTAACTAACTGGGTTTCGTAAGCTATCCTTGACTGGTGAATCAAAGTTTTACACTGGTTTCTGGTTTCACAGTATTTCAGCCAGAACTGCTGTAGCCCAGTAGAAACAAAGAGATTCCAGAACCTTTTTCTCCGTCTTAGGAGTGTTATGGCTTGTCTATTTATCCATGGTGGCTGATTTGTTGGCCTTTTAGGAACCCTCCAGGGAATGAAATCAGTGGTAACCCTCCCAATTGTATTCTTAGATCTATCCCATTCATCTTCAATGGATGGGACAATATTGACTGACCAGTCGGCAGTTGAAGCACGCTCCTTTATAGCGACTATGTCAGCATGCCAAACACTAGGTCGGGATTTGGGTTGAAAACTGACTAAATTGCCAGCCCTTAAGTTAAAATCTAACACTCCATGATCACTGTTTGCTAAAGGGGGATAAATAACTAGACCATCCACGTCATCGTTGTCATGAGTAAGCAGTAAGTCCAGCAAGGAAGATCCTTGGGTAGAACCGAATCTTGTACTACCTAAGACATGTTGTGTCAGGGCATTCTCCATGGTAGTCAAGAGTAACCGGCTGTCAAACTTATTAGCGGATCCTGGAGATGTGACAGCTACCCAGTCTATATGAGGTGCATTAAAATCACCTAGAATAAGACAGCTACTGTGTTTACTCCATTGTTTGAGGTGATCTAAAATAAATTCATCACACTGACAATAGGGACTTCTATACAGAACTCCAATGAGTAGAGTGCCAGTTGCAAAGCTTACTTCACAGCTAATTACCTCACTTGTCCCACTGTCAAGCGCTTCAGATTTCACGGAACGAACATGTAGGGAGTTGTTGATGTACAGAGCAACCCCGCCACCTCTACGACCCTTAACCCTGTCGCTGCGCAAGCAACTAAATCCGCATAGCTCAGGTGTGTCATCTAATCCAGAAACCAGCCATGTTTCAGTAATGGCCACAATACTTGGGCTAAGGTCTTCCACTAATACACCTAGCTCGTGAAATTTGTCCCCGATACTACGTATATTAGTGTACACTACCTTCAGGCTTCCTTTCGGGTTACGTGTGATTGGAATCATCACACGACAAGAGTATTAAGGCATTTTGCGTGTGGTAAAATATTTTGACTGTACCTTGGTTACACCGAGAAGATTGGGATGTGTAGTTGTGAGTCTCTGCTAAGAGTAACTTGCTTCTTCATGGTCAGTTTCGAATGAATAGAGAAACTTGTTGGAGCATGCAATAATATCAATAGTTTATATTTCGTATAAACAGGTCATACATGAAATGCAAGCCATTTCTACAGGCGCGACCAAGCATGTCATAAGCTGTAATCATGAAATATCAATGAAGTAGAACTATTTCAATTATCTCGGTAGTTGAATCGCAAAGCAAACAATCAGAACAGGTCCATATGAATATAATATTTCGACACCCTCACTAAGGTCGTCACCAAGGTCTGGAGGCAACTAGAACTTCGTTTCTTTTCCTTCTGATGATTATGGTCAACTGATGAACGACCTACATTCATGTAGGTTCTATATCCACGCGTAAATTGAGGCTATTT